TTGATAAGAATGAATATTGATAGGAATGAATGTGAATGAATATTGATAAGAATGAATGTGAATGAATATTGATAGGAATGAATGTGAATGAATATGGATAAGAATGAATGTGAATGAATATTGATAAGAATGAATGTGAATGAATATTGATAAGAATGAATGTGAATGAATATTGATAAGAATGAATGTGAATGAATATTGATAAGAATGAATGTGAATGAATATTGATAGGAATGAATGTGAATGAATATGGATAAGAATGAATGTGAATGAATATTGATAAGAATGAATGTGAATGAATATTGATAAGAATGAATGTGAATGAATATTGATAAGAATGAATGTGAATGAATATTGATAAGAATGAATGTGAATGAATATTGATAGGAATGAATGTGAATGAATATTGATAAGAATGAATATTGTTAGGAATGAATGTGAATGAATATTGATAAGAATGAATGTGAATGAATATTAATGAATCATGAATAGATGTGAATGGATATAAATTACAGAATTAATAAAGAAAGGAAGTTCGAGTCCTGTTTCTAAATTCAAAGTAATGTTCGTTATATTCAATTCAGGCTTATTTATTGTAGTCCAGAAAGATATGACTTACTCCTCTTATGAGAAACGCTGAGGTAAAGAAATACTAAACATTATCCTACCCTGCATACTGTTACGGCGTACTATTATAGGTTCATCAAAGCGAACGTTGTTTTCAGGGAGTTTCATAGTCTGGACGTTTATTTGTAGATCTATTAATGCTGCTGACTGGCGTCTCGACATACAACTTTCTTGCTTTTTGGATTCTTCTTCTTCTTGTATAGCTTTCTTTTGATTCTTCTTTAAAGTTGAAATAAGTTTATTTTGCTGATGATAATCAGTTTGTTTTGCTGCTGATTTTTTCAGATGACCTTGTGGGAACTTATGATGGTTATGTAAATGAGATTGAAGTTGTGTAGAGGTTATGTTGGTTTTGTATTCATCCCACTGTGATTTCTGTCTGTACGATTCAAGTAGTACTGCGTCTGTTGGGTAACTAAATAGGAATAGAAATCATTCTTTTGTAACCAGCTTTTACATGATCTTTAACATTGTAACAATATCCACACACCCACAAACATCGTATTAGTTGGGGATACGGTCATATATGCTTTGCTAACCGATAAGACTCAATTTCAGTTAAATCTATGTCTTTTCAGAAATAAAAGTCGACGTCCAGTTCTACAACTACGGCCAAATCCTACCACTCAGCGTCACGTATATACAGTGACAGTGTATCATATTACTGTTACTGAATTAGTTCTTACTTGTTGCTAGCTGTGATGTTTCGGACATGCTCTATGGTCTCGGGTGTAGCATAACGAAACAAATCACTTTTCTTGATTTTTAATATCCTCGCCCCATAACTAACCAATAGATGATAACTGTTAGCTTGACTTTCTTCGTTGATTATAGAATGAAAATCCTAGAAAATTAACAGTGATGCTTTTACTACATTCAGTCCTTGAAGATCTGTAGGTTCATGGGATTTTTCTATTTCGACTTGATTTATATTAGATATTTGGCATATTATTTGTATAGTCATTGGTGCCGGTCTTTATGTTTTTATAGATTTGAGCATCAAAAGGAGATTCAACAGGAAACAAGAGTTTCCTCAAGGCAGGTTTCGGTAATTAGAGTTGGAACTTACAAAAATATCATTTGGTCGAAGAGTTCCTATATTTAAATAAACCACATTTGTTTTGCCTTTTTCCTGTTCTAAAGCCATTAACGATGACAAGGTTTTTGGACCGAGGATGTATTCCAATTCTTTCTTACGTTCATTTTCCTGTAACTCCTCTATAAATGTCTCTTTTCTCTACAACACAAAGCATTAATGTGTCTATTTATATTGAAATATTTTTCCATAATTGTATTGAAGAGTAGGAAATTCAACCAAATGACGCTCAGAAAACAAAGATTACACCCTCTTTTTACAATAAATAATGAAATAGACTGAACTCATACTGCAGGATCCATATAATTCTTTAATAGTTTTAAATGTGTGGTAATCAGCCGTATTTTGGTAGACAAAGACGAAATGTGTAACCACTGAACGTGTAAATGTTTTATCTTGAATAGTGATTTCTGAACAAATTAAAATGCTCATACAGTCAATCTATGTAATCTTAAAGGGGTGGTTTGTGGTGGAACATACCTTTCCTGTTTCAACATATTCTAAACCCAATGATTCTAAAAGTTTCTCTTTTTCATCTTTATCTTGTTCTCTAGAAACTCCTACTTCACTTGTCTTAGAACCTAATACACAAAATATAATATTTTCAATTTATTACATTATTAACATTTCGTTATTCTTCTTTAAGATATACTTCCAAGTTCTGCAGTGCCTCCACCCCTTGGCAATCTTTACCCTTCAGAAGAAAGGCCACTCTGCGTTGACTATTCAAGGTTATTGAGTTAGATAACGTATACATTCAGGCAATTTTACGGAACTGTCGGCCAGGAAAAACAAACCAACACCAAAGACTGGTCAGAATTACCCTTTTTCTTCAAAGTCGGTGTTAATTTTCTGAACAGTTCTACCAAATCCTCAGATATGAATTGCGACTGTCTTCTTTTGGCCGCCCTAGCTTTATCTTTTAAACCATCATCTTCTAGAGTTAAACATCGGATTATTTGAGCCTTACCCTATAAATAATTCACAAATTTAAACTTCTCTACAATGACAACCAGCCCACAGAATAAAACGGTGTTTTACCGGGTACTTTATTTCAACATTTAAGAATATAAGGGGGCTTCAACCTAGTAGTAATCACACCAGAAGATGTTATTTTGAAATTTGTTGTGAATAATGAGGCCTTGCAATCAATTTGCGAACAATTATAATTCAAGTTCTTCTGTCTATATTCTCCGATATTGACAAGATTGTATGAAAACCCGAGAGAAAATCTCGAAATAGTAAGTAATGTGACGGGGGAGGGAAGGGGGGGGGGGGGGGATGTTATTAATCAGTATCCTTAAAGGGGTAACAGAAAGAAACAGATTGAAAACCACTGACGCATATTTTAAATGTCTATTTATAAAACATTCGGTGCTCACATAAAAGAGTTGTTTTGGAACTCATTTAATTTGAGATTTGACAATCGTTCACATCTGTACAAACATTTAGACAATATTTTACCTCCATTCCAATATAAATCCAGTTGTCTTTTCGGCTATCTCGTACAATTAACTTGTTGATGGAGAACTGGAATTGAATAACAATTACTATATGTTGGGAACACCTTTTTAAGTCTTTGGCACAATGAAGGCTTGTTACAGTTATCAGAATGACCGCTCTGATATATTATACTAGTAGAAGAATACAGATGAAATTCATGTATCTCTTGGTGATTTTTACTAGGAGAAGACTGTACTGATGAAATGCATATTGTATCTCTTGGTGATTTTTACTAGGAGAAGACTGTTCTGATGAAATGCATATTGTATCTCTTGGTGATTTTTACTAGGAGAAGACTGTTCTGATGAAATGCATGTTTCTCTTCGTGTTTTTTTAATAGTAAAAGAATACAGATGAAATGCATGTATCTCTTGGTGATTTTACTAGCAGAAATAAATACTGATTCTTATTACCAGTAGAAGAAGACATATGAAATGCATGTATCTTTTGGTATTTTTTTTACTAGTAAAAGAAAAAAAGTCCCTTGAAGTGCAGATTTTGTTAAATCTAATTTTAACTATGACCTGTAGTGTACTCGCTGACCTGACCTGACCTGACCCGACCTTCACGTATATTCATAAGCTAGCCTCGTTTTGTTTATAGCCTTGCTTGCCTTGTTGTGCAGTTAGCGTGCTAAGCCTTGATCGCTTATTAGTTTTAAAAAGTTTAATAGCGGATTTCTCCTACAATCATAGATGTCATCAAGCAGGAAAAAGACTGTGGAGGGAGTAAGAGACATGGAGAACGTTTCTGAAGCGACGGGAGAAACTCTAACTAGCGGTAAGACTGTACAACTTGCAAATGAAAATGTTGAAACGCCTGTTGTGGTTATCAACGACATGCCTAACATGTTGCTAAGAAAAAAAACCCTTGATAGAGTCTCAATTGAGGAATGGGGGTATGCAAACAACCAAATTTTATTGGAACTTTTAAAACAGAATCAAATAGATACTGCAGGATTCATATCTTATATCCGGGACACATCAGAAATCTTTCGCCTTGCCTCCAAGTACGTATGGTATTCGATCCTAATTATGATAAGGAATACAGAGAGCATCAAGCAATGGAAAAATTTGAATGGGGCACACACCGTCAAGATATTCGGGAATTCCAATTGATTTTAAAACGCGACATCCTGCAATCCGTGCCTTTCAGGGTGCCAATGTTATCAATGATCGTCAAAATAAGACCCATCGGAGTGGTGCAACTCGCTACATGGGCAACCAATCCGATCGACGTAAAGGACCTTTTCTCACTGATGGTCGTGAAATTTGCAGAAATTTTAATACTGACATTTGTAACCGCGTTGACTGGAAGATGGCACACAATTGTGCATTGTGCATGTCTTCGTCTCACTCAGCAGTTGGACATACACACCCGTCAGCTAACGCCTCGGCAAAAAACTACAATCGCCCCATCGCCTTCAATTTTATAGACATTCGAGATATAATGAGTGAGTCGAGTCGCGCTAATTGCTTGAAATACAACGCATGGTGTAGGCTTCTACCTGATAATTTCAAAGACAGGGACTTTTTGCTTGACGGCGTACGCAACGGGTTTCTTCTCAGCAACGTTTACGGTCCCCATAAACCTGTCGACCGCAAAAACTATAGATCAGCAACCGCTTACCATGACCAGGTTGAAACTCAAATCTTGCGGGAAATCGAGCTTGGCAATTACGTTGTCACCGATGTCAAGCCTACCATAGTCAGCTCTTTGGGAGCCATACCAAAGCCGGATGGTGGGATTCGCATTATACACGATGCTAGTAGACCCGAGGGTCTTTCCCTTAACTCGTACACATCAGATACATCTTGCTCATACATGGACTTGCGTTGCGCTTTGGAGCTAATTAAGCCTGACAGTTTCTTAGCTAAGGTAGACTTAAAGAGTGCATATCGGTCAGTGTTATGTAGTAAGGCAGGATTGCAGTGGACTTTTAAAGGCCGTAACACCCCTACTTACATGTTCGATCGCAAGCTACCCTTTGGACATTCTCACAGTCCAATGCTTTTTCAAAGAATAACATCTGCCGTGTGTAACATTATGCTAACTCGTTACAATGTGACATGTATTGTATACCTTGATGATGTCCTGATTATCGAAGATGATTTTGATAAGTTTAATGAAGGGCTACAACTCTTACTTTTAACCTTACGCGACTTAGGATTCAATATAAATTGGTCCAAGGTGGAAGGCCCCGTCAAGCATTTAGGTTTTTTTAGGCATAGCGATCGACACTGAGCGCCTTACTTTAACCCTTCCTCCGCCAAAACAAGCTGAGCTTTTGGAAGTGTTGCAATCATTTTTGTTTCGAAAACGCGCTAGTGTAAAGCAACTTATGTCCTTTATGTGGAAAATTAAATTGGGCTAGCCAAGTGATTAAAGGGGGGCGGACTTTTATGCGACGACTTTTTGATACAGTGTCACCTTTTAGTGAAATGCTAATGTGAAATACTTGACGAATTTTTCTTCGAAGATTTAGCGTGGTGGATTAAATTCCTCAGAATTTTCAATGGGTCGGTAAAATTTATCGATCCTAAGCCTATAACTACTGTGTTTACGGACGCGTCTTCGGATGGTTGTGGCGGTGTCTTCCGAGGTGATTTTTTCTATACAAATTGAAATCTGGATTTGTCTATAATTGCCAATGATCACATTAATATCAAAGAAACCATGTCAGTGGTTCTTTCTGCGATACGTTGGGGACCTCAGTGGCAAAACAAGAAAGTAATTGTGAACACAGACAATATGACAACCAAGTATGTGTTAAACAAAGGAACATCTCGCAATCGTAGCTTGATGTGCTTCTTGCGATTTCTGTTTTGGTTGTCAGCCATATTTAACTTTGACTTAATAGCCAGATATATCCCTGGTCGACTTAATATTGCTGCTGATGCTGCTTCGAGGCTACATGAACCAGATCAACTCAGCCGACTTTATAGCGTCTTGGGAAGTTATGATCTTTTCTTCCACGCTTCAGAACTTCTCAACCATGTGACACCTTTGTTTTTTACTTATAGGTGGGGTTCCCCGAGAATGGGGCTTGAACCGGCTATATTCTACAGTGGAACGTTTGAAAGGCAAGGGATGGGCTAACACTACTCGCAAAACTTATCAAACACACTGGAAGACTTTGTAGGCAATATGCTCTTCCAGTGTTTCCTGTCAAAAATGCTACTATAGAAATGTATATAGCTTATCTTGTTGATGTCAAAAACTTTACTTATAGCAGTATTAGATCTTATTTGAATATTATTTCTTTGTTATATAAGTCGAAAAATTTAACCGATCCTATTCAGAGCTGGACTGTTCAACATTTATTGACTGGAGTCAAGCGAGAACTAGGGGCAGGTCAAAACTGTAAAACACCTGTCACGCCTACTTTGCTTCTTAAAATCCACGCGGCTTTGGATTTACAAAACTATAACAACAAAATTTTTTGGGCTGCTTGTTTGCTTGGTTTTTTTGGCTTCCTTAGACCGATTAATTTTCTTATTAAGGACCATTTTGATCCGGCTGTTGATATACAACGACGCGATGTCCAGATTACAAAGGAAGGTTTAATTGTTCGACTTAAAGTCACTAAAACGATTCAGTTTCGCACTAAGGATATCTTTGTCTTATTGCCTCATTTGCAAAATCACCCGCTTTGCCCAGTAACTGCGCTCCATAATATCTTATGCCTTCCAGGTTCCCCGCTCTTTTTGTTGCAAAATGGCTCTTTCCTGAGTTACAATACTTTTTTGCGATCTTTTCAGTATATTTTGCATGTCATTGGGTTAAACTATAAACTCTATGGCGGACACTCCTTTCGCCGTGGTGCCGCCTCTTGGGCATCCTCTGTCGGTTTAAGCGATAGCAATATCAAACTCCTGGGTTATTGGTCCAGCGAGTGCTTCCAGCGTTATGTGCATTCCGATCTACATCTTCGCCAGCAGGCTATGCATAATTTTTCATGCTTAATCCCTAAAACACTTTAAACAATAGACACAACGTCATTTTTTATACAAGTACGTGTAGGTTTGGGATTTTATTTTATAAAAATGTTTCGATATTTATTTTTATATGTATTGTATGTAATTTTCATTCATTGTTCAATTACTTGTTTTTATTGCATTGGATTATTACTTGAAAATGTAATAAATGTTTAGCCACTTTCATATTTTATTTCAATCCTATTGTGCAGCTATTGCAACTTATTGAACGAAGTACAAAGGGTTAAAGTGAAGATTTTGTTAAATCTAATTTTAACTATGACCTGTAGTGTACTCGCTGACCTAACCTGACCTGACCCGACCTTCACGCATATTCATAAGCTAGCCTCGTTTTGTTTATAGCCTTGCTTGCCTTGTTGTGCAGTTAGCGTGCTAAGCCTCGATCGCTTATTAGTTTTAAAACCCTCCCACCCTCCCAGTAGTATTGCTGAGGGTTAACGCTTAATTAATATGCTTTATTTGGGATTTTATGTTGTAAAAATGTTTCGATATTTGTTTTTATATGTATTGTATGTAATTTTCATTCATTGTTCAATTACTTGTTTTTATTGCATTGGATTATTACTTGAAAATGTAATAAATGTTTAGCCACTTTCATATTTTATTTCAATCCTATTGTGCAGCTATTGCAACTTATTGAACGAAGGATAAAGGGTTAAAGATATTACCTCTTGGATCTGTGATTCTAAACATAAATTTCTCAGAGCTTCTTTTGGCCACCATTTTTCAGTAAATATGGGAAGGCGCCTGAAAACAATTGACAAAATGTAAAAGTTAATTTACTAAACCGTTACATGTATGTCTACAGTTATTAAGAAAGTTCAAATAACTCTTAGTCTTACCTCAAAAATTCTTCCTTTTCACACAATTCTTGTTCGAATATTTGTGGACAAACGTTAGCGAACACATCTTGATGTACCACCAGTAATTCTATTGTTTCTCGTACAGCCACGGTAGCAGTTCTTGTTACATTCTGTAGTAACGCTAATTCCTACAGAAACAGTTTAAAAGTGAGTGTAATAGATATTCTTGTGTAGCAGAAACAACTTTTATTCATTTTTGATCATTACGTTTATTCATGCGATGACTCGATTAATCAAATGATGTTTCAAAATTGTGGGTGCGTAAGCCAAATCTAGAAAAACAAGAATCACGTCTAAGCTCTGTCTGCCGGTGGGTGTAAAATTCCGAATTCCCGAACCTTCCGAACTGTCCGAAAACTAAATTTGCGCCAAGGGGCGTGCACAAAGGTTGAACGGAGTTATGACTTAAAGATGATTTTAAGATTATTTGAAAATTCATTATTAAGCCATTAAAGATTTTGTTATCATTTCTGACAGCTGGTAGTAGGCGTATGTATCTTTTGTTTTCTCCCCATCATTCACATTGACATGAAACTTTGTGACTTCAGTCACTTTCCTTTTCACATTAGTATTTTTACTATTATTACAGTATATTGTTGTCATGACGCATCCTTTACCAGTTAGGTTTAGCAGCTCCTTTTTTAGACATATCTCCGTGGATAGCATGGAGGAGTAGTACTAGTATTTAAATCCGACTGTGATTCCCTAACAGGTTTTCATTTAATGCCACGTAGCTGTAGAGGTGTGTTTCCAATCTTCTCCTGCAGCCTCCTTATAGACCAACAAATTTTCTGAGAGTTCAAACTTTTGGTAGCTATTTAGATTTAAATCTCCCACTGAGTTGTCTCCTTGACATTCAAGGGAGATAATGGGAAGACGCCTTCGATCACAAAACAATACAAAGTGCCCATTGAATAATGGCGATAATATTTATTAAAAATCAAAAATATCAATTCATAGACGGCATCATTATAAATTAGCACAGTGTACGTGAATAATAAAGAAAAAAATTGTGATTTGACCAAATGAAAGCATTTAAAAATATTCGTTTTTCGATGTAAAATGTTTTGATTCCCGAATTTGGGCACGACCTTTGACACAATTTTAGTTTCGATTTTTTGTCTTTTCTGACCCAGTTGGGAATTCGGAATTTGACACCCACCGTCTGTCTGCCAATGGCCAATAATTATGGTTTTACATATTTTACCATAATGTAGGCTCTACTCATATTATGTAGGTAGATCATAGCGAAGTAAAATAACTAGGAAGGATGTAGCTTAATTAGTAAAATACTTACACCAAACGAATCCCCCTTTTTCACAACAGCTTCAGTTTTAACAAATTTCTCTCCGCTACTATTTACATCTTCTACGTTGACGAACGCGGATCCAGAGAACACAAAATAGAAATTATAACCCACATGACCTTTCCTTAAAATAACTCTTCCCTCTGTCACACTGTAAAAAAAAGTATAAGAAATATAATCAATTTATTAGTTTGATACAATTTGACAATCGCAGTGTTGCATCAGGTGACAATGAGGGTGAGCAAACTCCGCTTCGTTAGTGATGCCCATCTTGGTTCGTTATATTTGTAGGGACAGGGGTCATATTAAATAACGGAGTTTTATTGTATACTTCTTCCAAGTCCCATTGAACACAACGCTTCAACAATTTATATTGTCAACATAATGAAAATTGTTAAATTGTTGTGTTAAAAAATTTCTCTTAGGCCGCGGTGTGACTGGCTACAGAGATAGCCTAATAGTCAAGTTACTGACCATCAAAAGAAATGGTTTCAACGAATCGGCGACAAGGGTTCTTACAGTGCCCTATCTATGTTTGTTCAAGTGATACAACGTCTTACAATGAACATAAAAATTAAGAATTTTAAACTTGGCGAATAAGAGCCAGTAGATATACCTGGTCTCATAAATAACATAACAGGATCCTTATATTATCCGATAAATCCAAAAAACTTAGTAATTATCCAAAAGTATGCAATTAACTATTGAAAAACACTTAATATCAAGATTAAGCGTTTTTCAATAAATACTTAGTTTAATGAATTTTCCAGATTTCACAGGAATTCTGTTGTAACTTTATGACACCAGGTATGTTCACTGATGAATATATACTCATATTGACCATTCTTGACAACTTAAATTTTATGTTCATTCTAAGACGTATTACTTTAAGTCAATATATGCTAGAGAGGCACTGGGATTGGTTCCACCACTTACCACTGATAAGTAAATGCTCTACACAGTGAAAATTGGATATTTTCAGTGAATTTGTCAAAACTCTGCATCCCTCTCATCAAGTTGTGTATCTTCCTACAATCTTGCTCTGTTCGTAGATGTGGTGGTGTCTCTAAAATGCGGATTGCCCATTTGGGCATTGAGGTAGTTGCCTGTAATAAGATATATATCATTTACCTTATACCCTTTGAAACAATGCACCAAGGTAAATCCTTATAGTTTTGAAAAATTATTGAATAAAAAGAGCCTGATAAAACTAGCATAACATTTATGATGTTCTGAACCTTTAGGCATACATCCAGAGCTCCAAATCAAGAGTAGTGGTAGAATTGAATTCCGGGCTTTATTTCTTAGCTACTGTAAAACAAATTCATATTCGTCCGGAAATAAAGGCTCATTACTGATGAAAACTTGAAATAGTCACACGTTTAGTATGTTACTAGACCTTTTGTTTCCGTCTGTATTTCGTACTATTAAAGGGATGACAAATCGTACCTTAGTCTCGAATATAGCTCACCGTTTAAGCCAGTTCCAATCTAATTCCAAACTAAATGTTTCGTTTCGTGTTCACTTTTCTTTTCAATTTAAGTACTTACCCTTTCTCTAGTATAAAGGGTTTTGTCAAAAGAAAGTTTTCTATCTGATTTTCTGGTCGAATATAACGTCTGCCATTGCATTTCAGTCGCCGTCCTGATAGATTTAGTTTCACTGATACCTATAATAACCCATAACAGCCTCACCATGGTCACTGCCAGGATAGCTATCATCCGAAACTTTCGGAACATCTGGAAATATATAAAAAGGAATGAACACATTAAAGCATTCAATTACGATGATTATAATATATTATATTGTTTAGGTCTTATAAAGTGATACAGCAAAAACTTCCTGAAATGATGTGCAACATAAACAATTATTCGGTATTCGGTTCAAGTTAAGGTTATAAAGTTATAACAGACATAGACACACATGATTACAACCCCTTTCATATTAATTATTGTTTCTCAACAATATTTCACCAGTCACTAGAGTTAGGTAGATAAATGCTAAATATTTGGCTCACCCTAGAAGGTTTCTCAGTGTCTACTGGTTTTTCTTCCTCGTCATCTCTCTGATACCTAAAACGACGCCTGCGTCTAGCTCGTATCTCGTCTGGTGTCATGGCTGATCTTATTCTACGCTCTGCTACCATTATCTTTAACCTCTTAGCAACCAAATCAGTGGATTTTGCCAAACTCTCAAAATCTTTGTAACTTTCAGGCCGAAACATTTGGTTTTCAAAAGCCACTAATCGACATCTTGCGCTCTTGGATCCTTTTCTACTGGTGTAAGTTTTTGGTCTTCTGGCCAATTCATCACCAATGGTTACCGGCTTTTGAGTGTTTCCAGCATGAAAGGTTCTTGAACGCTTCATGGAATCTCGAACATTGGAACACCTATTCCATGCTTTGTGAATAGCTGACAAGAGATCAGAACGAGTTTGCTGATTATACGGTGTCGAAATAGATTCTCGCTTTGCAGTAGAATGTGGACGATAGTTAGATGGGGCAGGTTCAACAGAAACAATTCCGCCTCTATGCATATAAACCACTCTTTGGTTTGGCACTTCCGGTGTTCGTATGTCTCGAACATAACCTGAAGTAGTTCTACAAGAGGAGTTTCCATACAGCTGTCTGCCCCTAGAACATGCACTTGTTGACCATCTTGATCTGGATCGATTCGCCTTCAAAGACTGCTTGCCGGTGTCGCATCTACTCGGATCTGGTGCTCTGATTGAGATGTTAATTGAGCCTTCACTACTACAATCGTCACTGTCGGTATAGTCAGTCAGATCATGGTATCCATCCGAGGGATCAAAATCCAATTTAAAGGTGGAAATATTATTTGGATTTCTCTTCATTGAATACATAGTTATATATCATCAACCTAATAAATACATGGATTTTTATTCTTTTAACATGTGAAATTTATCAAAGCACAAAGAGGTCTTAAGCTTGTACTGATTCGAATCATATTTCAATACACATTGGTTTGATAGATATTTAGTAAATGTTAAAATTTTCACAGGACACTTAAAATATTGCAAAAAGATAAAGTTTACTCACCTTCAAGTTATTCCAACTGTCCGAATAAATATAACGATACACCTTCTGCACGATCACGTGATATGTGGGGGATCATTGTGGGTCAGTGAAATAATTGTAATCAGTTAAATTCTCATAGAAAATGAAATAGAATTGAAAATTGAAAAAGTTATAAGCCTATGTTACAACTATCAGTATATGTTGATTTCCTTTTTTTCACAACGAGTTACCCACACGAAACCGAGTAGTTGTTAAGTACAAAATATGAACTCAGTCATAACGTGCCGGAAGGTACTCTGAAACCGTAACATATCAAACGAGCAATTGAAATTACGAATCCTTAAAACATTTCAAGTCGAGACAATCTTTTGATTTCAACGATGCGTTAAGTTCTTGCTGATATTTTTCCAATTGTATTGTGAAATCGAGTCTTCCATCATAGCAACCACTAAAGGTTCCGATTGTTCATTTTCCGAATTGTAACAGTAAACAATAAGGAATAAAATGTATAGGCCTACTTAGATACTTAACAATATTCGACTATCTGTATTGTGTAGGTACTAAATGGTACAATGGTAACTGTCATTTTTGTATTAAGGGTTAGGTGTTATTGCTTATCATTGTTCGTTTTGCATATACATGTACAATACGTTGTATATGAATAACTTAAAGAAAAATAAAATAGAAAGTGTTTTATCTATAGACACACTGTATGTAGGGTCTCTACAGGCGCATTGTAGCATTTCTTAATCCTTAAAGAGACCCTACCTATTTTAAGAATGATAAATTTTATAATTACAACTTACAAATCGAAGACATTAATATAACTATTGCGGACAAACAAATAAACCTATTTAGGTTTGGACATCACATTTGTCAAAAACTTTCCTTGCATTAGCAGAAACCTTTAAAAAGGGTTTCTATGTTTGATCTGTTGCACAAGCGACTAGCTATTTAAATCATCACGTGTTACACTTTAGTCGCAGTGGCGTCGCGAACCTCCTGGAACTGGGGGTAGACCGACTTATTGTCATAGGAGGATAACTGTCGAAGTTGAGATTCCGGATGAGGAGGGGCTATGGAACCGTGATAGCTCAAGACTCTGGTGAAGCGGTTGATGTTGTGTTGATGCAGCAACCCCTAATTTTGATATCCACGTTAATACTTTAACTTTGCTAATTAATTAAGTGTTATTGGCTTCTAAGAATAGCTCTTTCGAAAACACTTTGATTTGGGGATTGGTACACTCTGTGATTTTTTTTCTTTTTTGTAAAAGTATATGTATATGGCCTACAGTTCTATGATAAAATAGAGCTACGTTACTTCACATGATTAGAGGCTACTTGAGACAAACAATGTCTTGCCGAATGCGATAGGACATGGCATAATATTTACACAGCATACGCCCAGTGGATACAATTTACAGCTGTGCGTATCACATTTTATAATAAAAATGTCAACGTCCATAAAAGCTGATTCAAATGATCACAGCAAAAGCGAACAATTATTATTATTTATACAATTATTTTTCTAGAATTCTCTACGAAACTCTGGATTGACATCATTCATTTTTTCCTTTAATATTTTTTCAAATGCAAATAAATCGCCATCGTGATATTTGGAAGGTGAGTAACATTGGTCTTCATTTTGTTCACAATCTCTGTATTCGTGGAATGAAGCAATATCTTCACTTATCTGTACACTGAAATAAAGATTGATATAATAAATATTGAAAACGTCACTTACTTTATGCAGTCTGATGAAAATTTGTAAAAGCTCTTTCTTATAGCCACTTCAGTGAAGGTCTGAATACTGGCCTCTGAAAGAAATACTACGTCTTAGAATGAACATAATATTTACGAATTTTAAACTTGGCCAATAAAAGCATATATTCATCAGTAGATATACCTGATGATATAAATAACATAACAGGATCCTTATATAATCCAATAAATCCAAAAAACTTAGTAATTATTCTTAAATATGCAAATAACTATTGAAAAACGCTGAATACTAAGATTAAGCGTCTTTCAATAATCACTTAGTTTTATAAATTTTCCAATTTTCCAGATTTCACAGGAATTCTGTTGTAACTTTATGACACCAGGTAAGCTAACTGAATATATACTCATATTGACCATTTTTGAGAACTTAAATTTTAAGTTCATTCTTAGACGTAATATCACTTTAAACAGTTGTCAAAATAACCTTTATCAATCACTCTCTTTTGATTTTAATTAGACTGTAACTAAATGTATACACTCTAAACCTTTTGACGGCAAAATGGGAAGGGGGCAAAATGAAAAGGGGGCGAAATGGGAAGGGGGCAAGATGGGACAGGGGCGAAGTGAAAAGGGGGCGAAATTGGAAAGGGTCACATTCAAAAAGGGACGAATCGTGAAGGGACAAAATTGGGAATAAACAGTGTTTGTTGTGCTATGAAATGAATGGAATCTTTAAAGACAACATTCTAATCAGCCTGTTCCAATCTGATTTCAACATCGATGTTTTGTTTTTAAGGTTGTCTTTTCTTGTTTTGGTAAACTACACTTGCCATCCACGATCTGACGACATTGTTATGCATCACATGCCCTAGATCCTCATAATGTTTACTTTTAACATACGTGTCGTAGCTTCCTACCTTACGTTTTCTGAAATTGCAGTTGAACTTTACGGAAACGGCTAATGCTGTCAAGTAACGAAGACATTTATTTTGAAATCTGCAGGGGAAATTAGGTGAAAAACAAATATTTAGACGACTACATCCCATTGCTAAAAACCAAAGCATCAATAGTGACTTTACCTTTGATAACAATACTGGTTAGAATATGGAGCTGATAAAGAAAGAATTCTAGAAGGTATATAAATTGATCTTGTTTGTGTTCGATTCAAGGGTGCTCGTAGTAAATATTGTAGATGATATAGTTCGTTATCTGGGTCCGATTTGCTCCATTCTGTAATAAATGTTTTTACTGGAAAGGCAAAACTTGATGCTACTTGGTGTTCAACTTTTAGTCGATACTGTATAAAGAAAATAATGTAATTAAATGATGTTCCTTTCTTTCTATAAACAGTAATTATGTGATCATGTATTCGAATGTAACATTTATGTTACATTAACATTTACGTTACGTTCGAATACATGATCATATAGTTACTGTTTAAAGAAAGAATACTTATAAGTAAGATCCAAACAAATTGTCTGTCTACGAAACAATTCTAATCACTATATAGATCAGGTTATGCATTGATTCAGTGAGCAAATCTCATACAGTTGACATTGGGCTATTTGATACTCATTCTCCAAAAAATAATTTGACAAATACTCTTTGATATCTCACCTCAAGAAGATCGTAAAGATTTAAAATTTCACCACTCGGTATGAAGAATTCGTTAAATTTATTGACGATAAGATATTTATAACCTCTTAGGCGTTCCTGACAGTCTAATAACGCTACTTCAATATCATTGTAATATTGTGGGTACCATCTATTCTCTGCCTCCAATCCACGATCACCTTTAGCTGCAAGTAAAATTATCTTTTCAGATTGTAATCATCATTTGAAAACAGCCTGCAAAAATATCGTAAACATAAATAAAGTCTCGTTTCCAACTAGTAATTAGTGATTTGTTTTGAACACAAGATTTGAAAACTTGAAATGTTGGTATAAATATAATTTTAATGAGCTTACCCTTAATACTGCCTGGAATATCATACCATAATATTTCTAGTAATCCTTCATCTCGATAATGAGTTAATATTTTTTCTCTATCTCCTTGTAAATCGTGGACGTACGTTACAATCTTTTCTATTCCCAAAATCTTCTGGAGTTCGAACCACTCGGTAAGTATTTCGGGAATGATTTGACCATGGGTGACACCAGTACAAATAGCTAACTGGTCGATGGAGCTTTTAGCATATTCGATTTCCATCCACCTGGTGTCCAGTTGTGAACATGATTTTGTTGCTAAAGCCATATGGGTTGGTCTAAAATTGTTTGCGGTATCTACCAAGCAGTCATATTGTCCGGCTCTAAACGAACTCTCAACATGATGTGAATTGAATCTGCTTGGAGTCACGCTGAATACGTCGTGTGGTTCAGAGCGCAGACAGCACAAGAAATTTGGCGATTCCGTATAAGCACCATCCCATACATTTAAAGTTACAGTTAATAGTGAACTGTGATCTCTATAGTTCGCTATAATAGAATAAACATAAACACATTCACCAGCTATCTTCACCAAACGACTATTCTGAAAAAATAAATATTATATACAGTCAAGTAACCTAATTTCGTGGAAACCTGATATTCGTGGATTTCCGGAAAGGATTAATAATTTACATGAGCGACCTTGCGCGACCTCCGCATTAGTTTGTTTTGATAAACATGGGTTTTCTGTACAATATCAGCTAGTAGAATGAATCCAGTAGTTTCAAGCAAGGTAAAATGTATTAATGTATACTTTGACAAATACAAAATGGCGGATTTCACTTATTACCAAACATCACCATTTTTTATCGGCCGAATTTCCTTATAATCCCAAGCGGTAATCGGAATTCCAAGTGTCGTCTGCTAGAATGTAGTCCAAAGAATGAAGTCACGTGATCAACTAGCGGATTCCGTGTCAGCAGAAAATTTCTATGGAACACAAAGTGGACCATTCTCTTATGTTGTTTCAGTGACTTTTAGCAATAAATCACGCTACGTATCTTATTTTGTAAGTTATTATTTTTTTTTTTAAATCGTGGTTCTTTGAAGGAATTGTCACTAGTTGTAATGAATTGATATTAAAGATAAATACTAAGAGAAGTTAATTATACCACCCGGTATCCATACAACGTGTTTTTCTCGACTTATTTATAGATCAAACATTGTACACGAAAATAGGGGACGCATTCTGCCGTTGCCGAGTTGGTTGCTCATGAAATATGGGTCAAAGTGAAGGATTCATTAAGAAAATCGAAATAAACCAATTTTAATTAATTATGTAGAATATCTGAGGAAACACCTAAGACATTTTCGTTTTTTTAACTTTGACGTAATTCGGTGTTGAATCCTTATATCCACGAAAATAGGTTACTTGACTGTGCATTTGACCTTTTTTCATTTGAATATAAAATCAATTCAATTCTAAGTATGAAAGTGTGCAGTGCCGTAACAGGGTCTATTTTCTATGAAGCAAAAGACAATTTCTTTCGCTATGTAAAATGATAAATAAAATTGAAAGTGTAGGGGTCACTGAAAAATAAACAATTTGATCTGATCGTTGTGATAAATTTTAATTTTGGCTATTCTTAAAAAATATTGGAACGCAAAAGCAGTTATATAGACTCACAAATTGCGATGCGATACCGCATAAATTGGGAGAACGCTTGTACCAGCACGTTAGATTATCCGTAACTCATTAACATTTGAGGGTGCTGTCTGACAAAATACTTTTTGACAATATGAAGTGAATATGACGTTGTTTAAGTTGTTAAATGTTATGTAAAACTATACATAATGTTATAGAGGCTAATATCGTGTTATAATTGGATTATTGTTATCCAAGTAAATCATATTTATAATTATTATTATCGTATTAATTACAAGCTATATTTCAACCAGATTAATAATTGAATTGTAGAATTGTAGGAGGAATGTATTTAACATAGTTTTATTGCATGTAATAAGTCCCCAGCAATCAAACTTAAACAAGTTTGTTCATATATTATCCTTTTGTCCTTATGTGAATTATGAGATACGTGTTAATGAACATCGAAGTCAGCAGGTTCTTTTGAAAAATTCCAGCTAACCATCAAAGTTGAACCTGATTTGGGCATTTCTTGTACAATTTTATACATTGCTATCAAAACAAACTTACTTCAGAAGGTGGAAGACACTCCCGCAAATCTGTAAAATTTAAAGGGATTTTCGAGTGAACATTCGTTGGCAGGTCCAGTGATATATTTCTGACTAAAGCAATCGTCGTCGCTGTAAAGACTAAAGCTGACAAAATTCCACCTTTATGTTTCTGTAAGTTTTCATACTGTCGACGTTTTTCTCGTCGAAAAATGGAATATAATGTTTCGTGACCACTCATATTCATTTAGCCAATGTTTGTTTCCTCGAAAAATTCACAATAAACAATGTCCTTTCTATAGAACCATAGAAAATTTCCGTGTTATCAAAAAATCTCCTGCAGTATATAAACAGTTTAATCTCAAAGCGATATAGAAAGATACACTTGATATGATCTGCATATATATTGTGTAGTAATGCATGATGTGCAGATACGCATATATAATAGTACAGGTGTTGTATGTCGCGTTCACAAGGTAACTAACTGTGATATATCCCTAGCAACACATTGAGCATTAGCGCGTGTAAACCTAGATACAGGAAATTATGGTAGTTTTAATATTTAGACCTTACAATGAAATATAAGTGGAGGTTTACGTTTTACATTTTTTTGATTTGGTAAATGACGCAATTTTATATAAAATGTCGAAAGCGCTACCGTGTCGACACGTCTTTAACAATCCGTACTAAAACCACATAAATTCACATAAAAACATGTTATACATCGCTCAATTGGGAATTGAAAACGTTTTTCAGAGATATTTACAAATATTGTTTATTTTAACGAAGTTTGTAAAAACGTTAGTTTGAAATCGAATTTTTGACTGTCGGCCATACCCTTGCCATATTTTGGCAAAAATGGTTCCAATGGATGCAGAAAATGAATTTCCGTTAATCAAAAAAATCAATAATTTGTTTTTCACTCTATTTCTCTTTAAAAATTTCAGCATCTAGACATTATAATTACCTTTTAATTTGTAGGATAATTTCTGTCACTGAGTGCATTGAAAATAAAATGATTTCGGCAACTTTACACATATCTGAATTTTTTCTTTTCATCAAATTGAAATTTTGTATCTTATAATATTATGTCAAATTAATATATGTTAAAATTCATTTGTGTAAATTATAGTAGCATAAGTCCTCAGTTTAATTATTCCATCTCGACCTGGGCAGTACATTTCTTGATAATTCCAGCTATTTTAATAAGGATTTAAATTTACTTGAGAGTAAAAATTTTGTGTAATGTATATAATCGATAGCCAAGTATATTTTCAATTTGAGTGTAATTTTTTTTATATTAAAGCAATGAAAGCATGAAACATTCAATGGAATCAGCCGTCGATCGATTATGTCCTACCGATTGCTACAATCGATTTAAAACATGAAAAATCGATCATCGGTAAAGTCATTTTCAAACACACCTTTCAAAGCTATTTTCACACGAACACACCTCAAGGGAGGCCACTTTACTGTCTAGTCGCAGACTGGTACGCAGACGACATGGAAGAAGGCATAAACACATTTGTCCATCCAGGGGACAAAACAAAATCAAAAGTATGGAAATACTTTGGCTTTCTGAAAGTTAATATGACGGGCCACCCATCAAATCCAATCTAAATATGCTATCTTCCATCTGCCGACTTTGTCGGAAAACTTACAAAAACAACGGAAAGTTAAAAGAATAACCAGTCAACCAGAGATGTCAACCCGTTTACAAAATTTTGTCGGAGAACTCGTAGAGCTATAAAAGTGATTTGATCGAATATTGATAAAGATCTATATGAATTAAAAACAATATTCATTCTAAAGATAACTTGCCAGGCAAGGTTATGTACGCCCACTAGCAGCTTTGATTTTAAATCAAAATATTTGATAGTACAGTAACAATTACCAGTATTAAATATTCAACCTTCAGACATACACTTCTTTTGAACTTTTTGAGGCGATACTGAATAATATTAACAAGTTTCATCAAAATTGTCAAGAATTGAGCCTTCAAGAACAAGAGCAATAACTCATACTAAATATTTTCGGATTTTTCTGATTTTCGATACAGATCATCCTTGGGTGATAACAAAAATTCACACCAAGTTTCGTCAAAATCTGTCAGGAATTGAACCTTCTAGAGCGATTACGAGCTAAAAATTGAGCGCGTTTTCAAGAACAAGGGCAATAATTCATACTAAATATTTTTTCTATTTTTTTGATTTTCGATAGGAATCATCCTTTGGTGATAACAAACATAAGTAAGTAAGTGCACCAGTCAGCTGCTCTTGCATTGTCGATCATATGATGAGTATTTCGATATTTAGATTAATACGTAACGAAAAATAAGGTTATGGCTTTCAGGGCTGCGTTATGCGAAATGGTTCAGCAAAATACTAAGTATTCCTATCTGTAGACCTACTTAAGAACTGTTTTTAAATATCTTTCTGTTTATACTTAGCTGAGGATGAAACCAGACATCATAGCTTTTCATAACATTTTTATATTTAATTACATTAGAATAGATAATTTGATACAATTGAGTTCGTTGAAAATCATAAAAAGGCTGCAGTAAAAGCGTCATTGGTAACAAAATTATTGGTCTGATACTGGATTGTAATCTGTCCCGTCTCANAATTCAAAAGATTTGATTGGTTGATTATAAATACTAATAGACCTATATTATCCTAACTCGAATCTAAAATACTCCATGAAAGTCCGTTTCCCGACGTTTAATCGTCTGTTAAGGTGCTTTGCTAAATTGCCCCCCTCGATTGCACGTTTGCTCCCCCAGGAATACTGGTCAGGCTACGGGCCTGCTGCTCACTGACGATATGTATTCAATGCTATATAATATTGACTATTAGTTCTCTAATGATGCATTTCTTTATCAGTTTAAACAAATAATAGTAACTTTCGCTGAGGCTTTTTAATTGCTGTTATCATATGTCCTATACTAAAAGAAACCCGAGCAAAATCTGTCGATAAATACGGACACTACAGCCCATTTCCGGTTTCTTACTATCTCACTTCCGGTTGAGCAGAACATAGCCACGAGTTAGAAAACGACAAGAAGTCCGTTTTTCAATACCTATTTCTGGTTCCGAGAAATAAGCTCCTTAGTGGACGAAAAAAAATAATAATAATCGTTACGAAAAGTCCGCAGAACGGCCTGCAATGATAATTAAAAAATTAAGGATAACAATACAGCTTCGAGTTCAACTCGAAAGCTGTGAAAAAAACCTAGAACTGTTCCTTTAACAGTACTGATGAAGGCGTGTTACGACAAACAGAAACACAACGAAGGAGTACGAATTCCATTATACCCATGCAAATTAGATAAAAAAAAGTCCGTACAAGCAAGACAATTGTCAATTCTAATACACACCTGGAAGAAATTTGAATAAAAAGTAAGGAAATTGGTAATGCACATGCGCATTTAAAAATTAGATTTTCCCATCAAATTAAGAATTGAAGTATATACATACATATCAAATAAAATGATGAAATTTGGATGAGAAATAAGAAAGTTGGTAATGTGCATGCGCATAACAAAAATTTAATATTGCCATCAAATGTAGAATTTGAACCCGTTCTTGGTGTCTAATTGTACATTTTTAGGGTCAAAAAATCCAATGGTTTATGTTTCAACTGTTACCAGGTTGAATTTCAAAGTGGCCACTATCATAAATCAGCAATTGTTGATATTTCTGCATCTATGTGAGCTTTAAACTTTTTCTTGGTACCACAATCGTACCACAACACTTCCACTTCTTTTCTCTAGAGCATTTGGTCAACAGATCAAAGCCACTAAGCAAATAATGGTATCAGCTAGTTCCTTCAAAGCATGACACAGAACTCTTTTCATTACTTTTGCAAGCAAAACAAAGAAAATATTTGGATGAGTTCTTTAGGGTAGAGAAAAGATATTGACTTACCCAAGGACAGATTCCATTGGCTACACACAAACAGCGGGAGACCGACATCCGAATGGTGATACATACAACAGATACATGGGGTGTAGACATACGTATCTCCACAGTGGATGTTGCCATTCTGGTCATCGCACTGGCCCAAGAGCGACATCAACAATTGCATGAACTCTGGCTTTCAGAGTTCGTAAAAGGCAGAATTTGGCGCTACATAGCAGCATATGAGGGAGATTGCTGCAGAACTACGACCTGTCAAAGGTATACTTAAATTGTTTCATGCTGTTACAGACTGTGATACGGTATTTGCAACCTATTCCGTGGCTTTGACCTGTGGATCAAACGCTCCGTTGTAAAGGATTGGAAGTTTTCTTTGCCCATGAGGACATTTTTCACAGTCTCAGCTGCTGTTTCACCAGCAGAGCAGTACTCCTATCTCGAAAATAGTTCTCCATTCCCAGTAAAAACATCACCTGAGACAATAGTTACTTGAAAGACGTATACTTGAGGTATACTGTTTGAAATGGTCTATTAAAGATATTTTTCTAGTCGGAAACGTTTCCAAACATGGACAGTCTATTTCCATTACATTCATATTTTACGAAATATCATTCATATATATTTTACGAAATATAGATGCAGATAATGTAAACCAGTTCAGAAGCTGACAGATCTGTGTCAAACAGGTTTAGTTTTAATTCAATGTGTTATACATGCCGACTGCATTGCAAATTAATGCAAAACTACACGAACCTCTGTCCACTCGATGGCTCCATTGTTTAAATCGAAGTGACCACTCTTGTCTATCTGTACTCTCTGGTAATAGAAAGTAGAAACAACGATTTTCATAAATTCTTCGACCTTCCGTGTAAAAATAGCACATACTAGCCGATTTTTGAAGAAACGCCGATTTTTCGGCGTCGAAACGACATTATTGCATTAGTGTATGTTTATTTCCATTTAATTGTTGTTTCAATTTTAAAAATAAACGGTTCCTTTGTTCTACAAACTGACCTTAAACTATATCCGCGACACAAAAGTTTCTCAGCGGCATACCACGGACCCTATACAAAATAATCTTGAACCTTAAATTCGCTGGGAAATGTCATGAAATCGCGTTTCCGGGTGTCTTATTCTCAAATTTTTCTTGTGGTGATCCCACAGTATTTTTACAAATAAACTTTAAATTCGCCAGGAAATTTCTGGTAATCGCGTTTCAAGGAGTCAAATTTTCTCGAATTTTCTGGACGGGGTCTCCAGATTCAGAAAATCGTTTTTTAAACGTGCAGTTTTTTTCCACTAAACATAGCAAATATTCCCCAGTTTCAGCAGTAAAAATATTTGTTACAATTTCCACATCTGTTGGAACCATTATTCTCCTATATTCAGATTCTGAAGATTTTCATTTCATATATTCAAATTATATTCCAAACTAACTGCACAAACAATACTCTGTCTAGAGACTAAGTCTGCATGCGGTGCTTGTGCTTTCGTAACATTAATTAACCGCAATATGACAACCTAAAATTCCCATCATCGCTGTTCGCCTGAACTGAACATTAGGCCTAACAGAGAAAGATAGGAATCATTTTGGAAAATATGTGATATTTACAGCTCCAATGGCAACGCCTGTTATGGCTTTGATTTCATCTATTTATCTATCAATTTCTAAATATTTACACTAGCTTTTGTTTTGTCGATTGGACTGATGCAAATTTGTGTGTCGTTTATATCACAATAAATGCCATTGCCTCTTCACCAAAACATTAGGCGTAGTAATTTTAATTAATAATGTCGTTATTCATTGACGTCATTGTATCAAATATATAAACTGACAGGCAAAAGAAAGTTTTCATTTTAAAAATCGTTGTATAAAAAGCAAAAAAGCTGGTACAGGTTTGAACCCTAGCAGCAAACATTTGCCATAATTCAACGTTATTATGACCACAATGCAGACTATCGAACGCAACTCTCCAATTCGTGCATGCATAAAAACGTGCAAAACGCGATTTTGCGACATTGGTCCAAATGCACGTGCACGATTTCGGTATAAATATCGAAATTGGGCAGAACAGGCATTCAGTAAGGGAAAAACCACCAAAAGTATGCCAAGACATGCGCAAGCGCAACGAAATACACCGAGCGGTACGGCCAATATGAGGGCTTTTCAACGACAGATAGCTAGAACCTTCAACTGCTCCCAGACCACCATCAGCAATTTGATAATCCAGCTCCAACAGACAGGACAGATCCAAGACTGACAAAGATCTGAAGACTGAGGGTGTCAACACCAGCCGACGACCGCTACATCCGGAGGATTCATCTTCGAAACAGATGGGTGACGGCGGCGTCGACGGCAGCAACAGCACTAGGTATGCCATCAGCAGCCGAACAGTCCTTTGAAGACTTCGTTGGATTACGAGCCTATCGACCCTTTCGTGGAATGGCTTTGACCCGTCTACATCGTCAACGCAGACTACATTGGGTAGGAACTGTACGCCGATGGCAGCGACATGTCTGGGCGAGGGTGCTCTTTACAGATGAAAGTCGATTCTGTCTGTTCAGGAACGATGGCAGGGTTCGAGTTTTTCGACGAAGGGGAGAGCGACTGGCGCCAAACTGCATTACAGAGGTTCACCCGTTTGGAGGTGGAGACGTCATGGTATGTGGTGGAACAGGAACCTGTTGACGTTATCCGCCGCCTGACGACGTCAATGAGGAGGCAAGTGTTTGCGTGCATGTTTGCCCAGGGTGGCCAAACTCGTTATTGATGACGTTTTGCCTGACTACTGTCATGGAATATTCTCTTTATGCACTTTTGCAATGAACTTTGGTTTGTGTAATTTTTAATTTTGACCCCTTGACTCTTCCTTTGTGTATTGCGGAGAATTGAATATCGGTATTACAATGCATTTTCATTCTAATTCAATGAAATTGAAATCTCACATTTGCCTTTGTCTTTGGTGTGTGGCCAAATGAAGTCGGTGAAAACTTTCTTTTGCCTGTCAGTTTATATAGGCCCTGTAGACAATGTAAACAATAATGTCGGTAGTCCCAAACGTTGAAACGTAAAGAAATAGGCCCTACTTAAATTCATACTAAAGTCTTTGTATCAAAAATAGAATGTCTTGAAAACGTAAATATGAGCAATAAACTGTTTTTTTTTTCCAGCCAACCCCTGTCCTGATATACAACCATAACCGCCAGAGGGGAAACAGTTTATTGCTTAAAGAACGAATTCGGAATATACTTGGTGGGATTTTTTTTTTTGCAGGGCGTTCGTAAAACGAAAATTCGTTGCATACTTTTTTTTGCCGAAATTAATCGAAAAATACTATTTCGGTTGTTATTTGGCGGATTGACTTAAAACTTACATGGTGTAGACCGCCAGCAAAGTGGAATAAAAGCACACATTCAAAATTTTTTCATAACTTCCGGTTTCGATGTTAGTACTTCCGGTGGCGTCACTTCCGGTGGAATTGATTTATGTCAAAAGTAACATATGCATTATATTACCATCCTTAATACAAACCTTTTAAACTAAAAAAAATCGTACCGGAAGTAACATGTTTGTCGCCATATTGGTTTGCCTCATTTTTGTCCAAATCGATTCCCAGAATTCATTTTTAATCCGATTTGCGTAACGTTTGTGTCAAACGATCAGTTTAATGTTTGTCTACAAATGATAGGAAGCATAATTTTGATTTTCGGTTTTGCCTTTTTTGTACGACCGGATTGTTTTTTTCAAAGTTTGAAGGCGTATATCTCATGACCTTGACCTTTGATGACCTTCATATTCACTGTGATGATAATTTGTGACCTTGTCTATCTGATGACCTTTTGACCTTTGGGGTCAGATACCTATTTCCGATTTTACAGGGGTCTAAATATGGACCATTTTGAGCCTTTAAAGTGCTCTATCTCGGTCCCTAATAGAGATATGGCAATAATTATTTCGATTTTGTAATGTAGAGATTCTCAGCTTTCCATAGATATATAACTTGCATACCTTACATGAAAATTCAAAACTCCATTTACTTAACATGGGGTTATTATTAGATAAATCGGTTAATTAGATTAACCTGGCTGTCAACCCCAACAGAAATCAAATTTTAAGTTGTTTTAAAGATACCCTCCCTTTTATATTTCTTAAAAATTATCTTTGTCCAGTTATGGTATAAAATTAAGCTCTCAGGTGGATTGAATCATGTCATATTTTAGTTTAAGCTCACGGCAGCATATTGAAGGTATACCTCCACTTAATTTACTAACTTTCTTATTTCTTATCCGATTTTCATCAAACTTGGTATGTATGTGTATAATTAGATTCTAAATTTGATGGAATTATCGAATTTGCGTACTGCGCATGCGCATTGCTAATTTTCTTATTTATTATTCGATTTTCATCAAACTTGGTATGTATGTGTATAATCAAATTCTAAATTTAATGGAATTATCGAATTTGAGTAGTGCGCATGCGCATTGCCAACCTTCTTATTTCTTTTCCGATTTTCATAAAACTTGGTATGTATGTGAATAATTCAATTTTCAATTTGATGGAAATATTAAATTTTTGTTGTGCGCATGCGCATTACCAACTTTCTTATTTCTTATTCGAATTTCACCAAACTTGGTATGTATGTGTATAATCCAATTCTAAATTTGATGGAAATTTTTAATTTTTGTTGTGCGCATGCGCATTACCGACTTTCGTATTTTTTATCCGAATTTCACCAAACTTAATATGTATGTGTTTGATTCAATTCTAAATTTGATGGAAATATTGAATTTTTGTTGAGCGCATGCACATTACCAATTTTCTTATTTCTTATCCGGATTTCATCAAACTTAGTTTTTATTAATTGACAAATATTCTTTTATTCCTAGTCAATATACTTTAAACTCCAGGCACTTTTGGATATTTGCATTTAGAGATGCAGAAAGGTATTTACATAAAATAATTGCAATAGACCATCTTCGTATGTACCTGAATGTCGTAACCGCCCTGCATCAGTACTGTTATTAGAACAGTTCTAGTTTCAAATTCGTTTTATATCAAATTGCATTTCATAACTCAATTCTCTATTTTGTACAGCACCATAAGCCTGCCATTAAGCCAAAAGATTTGGGACGAATTCTAAAATCATCTGCTGAGTTCATATAAAGTTACAGTCGTCATGTCAGGTAGGTTGTACGTGTAAGAATACATTTTATGTACGACACACGGGCAAAGGGCTGTATATTTATACCCTACAATATGTCAGTCTGTAAGTGTAAGTGTAGAAAGTTAGATTGTTATCATGTGCAGATAGATGAATAGGGCACTCTCGCAGTTTCGACGCCTTTCCCTCCCCGTTGAGCTATTGATTTGAAACTTGAAACAGAGGGGTATTTATATATGTCCTGAATATTCACAGCAAATTTCAGACAGTTCCAACGTTTCCTTCTATCTTAAATTAATTTTCAAAGTGATGTACTGACCGAAATTGGCGAAATGGCAGGGGGCGTAACTCTTTTGTTTAGTCGTACTTGCCTTGCCAAATCATTCAGTCTGAGTCATTTCGACCAAATTGTCAATTTTTCACAGCGGCGTAACGGCTGTAACCGCAATCATTTTCGTTATGCTCTCAAACTTGTCATAGTTCTTTGCCGTTTGACGCTAACGTATTTATTTGAAGATTTTCAATGAGATAACAGAGTAATGCATTCCGATTAATTTAACATAGCACGGGTGTATGATCGGCCTGAAAATTGCTGTGAGTAATCAAGACACATTAATAAGTCATATTACAAGGTTTCGTATCGATATCGTGATTGGAAGTGCTTGGGGTGTGATGCAGCAATAGGAGCATAGTTGCATGACTTAAGCGATTGATTTAACATTGGATCGGTCGGAAAATTTTTGTGAGTAATCAGAATGCATTACTCTGTTATCTCATTTTGAATCTTCAAATAAATACGTTAGCGTCAAGCGGCAAAGATATATTACAATTTTGAGAGCATAACGAAAATAATTGCGGTTACAGCCGTTACGCCGCTGTGAAAAATTGACAATTTGGTCGAATTGATTTGGCAAAGCAAGTACGACTAAACAAAAGAGTTACGTCCCATATACGTCAAATAGACGGACTCACTCCACTAATTCATTTGCCATCTCTTCCCATGTTAAAACACGAAATTCAACCTTCTATAACTTTTTCCAGAAATCTCGTTGAAAGCTTTCCAATATGTCGAATGAAAGCCTGACCAATTCTCAATGTCTCCTAAAAATTCAATATATGATGACCATGAAAATTTGGAGCTACTAAAATTGGTTTTACTCATTTTGGCACTTCACAAAACGACTATTTTTAGAATTAGCCTTCCGCCTTTAGGTCGCTCATCATCTCTCCAAATCTTAAAGATAATGCAATTTCAGACATCAAATTCCAAATCTAGACCAAAAATTACCCCTAAATAAGCATGCAAAAACCCCAAAAGGGAGAGAGAAAGAAGATTTCTAAAAACAGTCTGGACTGCAGTCGTTACAATCATAAAATTTTTAGTGGAGTGAGTCTACATGTGCTTGTCCAGAATTATCTGCGTTTGAAGGTTACAATCATAAAATGTTTTAGTGGAGTGAATCCACATGTGCGTGTCCAGAATTATCTGCGTTTGAAGGTTAAAATGACGACTCGTCAATTTTAGATGCTCTGTGTTATATAGAAAAGACATATTAGATGTAGTCAGTAAAATTCCTAGTTTGAAGTATTTTTAAAGGAATTGTGCAATTTTCTTACAGTACTTCTGAAGACTATTTAGATAAACACTCTAATCAACCCGTTAACTAGCGCAACTAGCGTCCGCCGGTCCGTCCGTCTGTCAACATTTGCTTGTAAACGCTCTAAAAACTAGAGTTTTTGATGGAATCAAATGAAATTCGGTATGTGTATACATGTTCAAAAAACGAAGATCAAGTTCGAATTGGAGCTATTTTCGACCGTTAGAAGCAGAGTTATTGCTCTTGCCCCCAAAATCTTGAATATGCTATTACTCTTTTAGTTTTCAGCCGATTTTGATGAAACTTAAAATGGATATTATTGGACCTAAATCGAAAGGTTTGAGAAAGTTAAGTTTACTTCTGATTAAATTTAAGGCTTTTTCAAAATGTAGGCCTCTTACGTCAGTTTTAGAGTTATCACCCTTTAACCTCTATACAGTAAGTGCTTCTATCAACATCAATTGCTCGTAAACACTCTAAAAACTAGAGTGTTTGAAAGAATCAAATGACATTCGGTATATGCATACATATTCATGAAACGAAGGTCCGTTGGTCTGTCCGTCCGTCAACATTTGCTTGTAAACGCTCTAAAAACTAGATTTTTTGATCGAATAAAATGAAATTCTGTAGACATATTCATAAAAGGAAGATCAAGTTCAAATTTGAGCTATTTTCGACCGTATGAAGCAGAGTAATTACCCTAGCCCCAAAATCTTTAATATTTACCATCCGCATGCCGCGGTGGACGTATATGGCTGTGGTCCACTATCTTGAATTTGGCAGTTGCCTTTCTGCAAAATGCTCTAGATTTAAATAAAGACAATTTGGTATCCTTGTTTTTTGTTGTTTGATACCATACAGTTTTATTACTTTTCAAACAGTATTGTAACCGGTGATGTTGATTTAATTTTCAGGTTGGACATCGTATGTTAAAACTGCAGCAATTGTAACTGGAGCTGGGGTAGCGTCTGTAGTGGCTGTTCCCGTAGTGTTAGGAGCTCTTGGCTTTACTGGAGCAGGAATAGTTGCTGGAAGTTTTGCTGCAAGTGCTATGTCAGCGACAGCCGCGGCTAATGGAGGTGCTGTCGCCGCTGGAAGCACAGTAGCTGTTTTACAGTCAGTTGGTGCTGCTGGATTAGGAATCGGTACTAAAATTGGATTAGGGAGCGTCGGGGTTGGTGTTGCGAGTGGAGTTATGAAATTATTTAAAAAAAAATGAAGTTCTATTATAAAGGCTAATAAAGTTTTCCTATTCTGACATCCTTGTTTATCATTAAATAGATCAAGCTCATTTTCAGAGTTGAATCAAAAATGTGCCTGTAGCCTATGTAGAAAAGAGAATGAACAGATAAAGAAACGTCGCATTTTTTACGCCCACATGAAATGGGGGGCGTATATTGCCGTCACCCACGTCCGTCCGTCCACAATTGCTCGTAAACACTCTACAAGACACAATTCTTGACGGAGGAACCCTATTGAAAATCAGAATAATCGAAAAATATTTAGTATGAGTTATTGCTCTTTTTCTTGAAAACGCATTCACTTTTTAGCTCAATTTCAACCAGATTTATCGCCATTTAATATCTTGCTTATTGCTTACATTATATTTTGGTTCATGTTTCTCCCCTTTTTTGGTATATTTTGATTTATCTTCATTAAATTGCATACAAGATATAGTTTAGTCTACCAAAAGTTTCAATGGGGAGTTCTACTAACATCAGTAAGTCCTGTATCGTCTATAGAGTTACTTTTTGTCTCTTTTTTGCATTGTTGAACGATACGTTCAGTTCCACATTATACTTTTGTTTTATTTTGATTACACGTTCTGGCGATATCGAATCGAATCCAGGTTCCTCCTCGACGAAATTATACGATAAAGATAAATTATCTCTTTCCTCTGAACACGAGGAGGATTCGTCATAAGCTCGATCAATTTTTTGATGAATCTCATGATCACCATGTTTGTGCTTTTACCGAATCTCACCTTGATAATAATATTTCTGACCAATTCTTTCTAATCTATTTTCTTTTCCATATTGCAAGGACAGAAACGGTCGTGGTGGCGGTGTGCTTTTGTATATAAAAAATGATATATTCAGTAATCGTAGGCTTGACCTTGAGTTGCCATCTGTGGAAGGTATTTGGGTTGAAAGTTATCAACAATCCATAGTCCTCCAATCAGGACAAGTGGAACTGTATGAAGTTCTTTCTAGGAACCACTGCCACTCCCCCACTCCCACCTCTTGTTTTAAATGGGGCTTCAGTTGGACGCTGATAAAGCCCAATTATTTAATACTTATTTTGCTAGTATATCGAATGTTACGCCAACTAGTAACCTACCCGATTTTAAAAATCGAACCTCGTCTCAGATTTCTCTGCCAATAATTTCTGAGGAGGAAATTATTGGCCTCATAAAATGCTTGAAAAATAAAAAAGCAAATGGCTTTGATAAAATCAGTAATATTATCCTTAAAAATACTGCATCTTCCATAAGTTTTCAACTACTCCTATTTAACAAATCACTTGAATCTGGTACATTTCCAACCCTATGGAAAGAAGCGAGGGTTATGCCCCTTTATAGAAAAGGGGAAACCTGGAATGTAAGTAATTATAGACCAATTTCACTACTAAGCTGTATCAGCAAATTGTTTGAAAGAGTAATCTTTAAACATTTGTATAATTATTTTCACATTAACAAACTTCTAAATCCTTACCAATCTGGTTTTAGACCGGGTCATTCGACGGTTCACCAACTAATTAAGATTTACAACGACATTCTAGTTTCAAATGAAGAAAATCAATTCGCTTGTTTCGCATTTTTCGATATATCTAAGGCCTTTGATCGAGTGTACCATCCTGGTCTCATTTTTAAATTGTCAAAGTATGGAATATGTGGTAAATTTCTTGACTGGCTTTCAAGTTACCTGACAAATAGATTTCAACGTGTATTTGTCAAAGATGCCTTATCACCAGCTGAAACTTTGAACTCTGGTGAGCCTCAAGGTTCCATCCTAGGCCCCTTAATCTTTCTCATTTATATCAACGACATTCAAGACGTTGTTCAAAATTTATCGCGTTTGTTTGCTGATGATACAGCAGTTGGTTGCAAAAAATCACTCATTTCTGAAATTGAACTATCTATGAATGAAGATCTTTCCAAATTGTCGAAATGGTCCAAAGACTGGCTTGTCAGTTTTAACCCTTCTAAAACCAAAGTAGTCCTTTTTTCAACTAGACCCCCAACCCAATTACCTAATTTGTTTTTTGGCCAGGAGCCTTTAGAAATCGTTCCTTTCCATAAGCATCTCGGCATTATATTTTCGAATGATCTAAAGTGGTCAATACATATCGACTTTATTTGTAAGTCGGCATATAAACTAATCGGTGTGTTACGGAAATTAAATATACCCTCAACAGAAAAACTCTTTTGAGTATTTATTCGACATACGTACGGCCTCGTGAGGTGTGGGATTGTTGTAATTTATCTGACTCAGACCATCTTGAGAATGTCCAGCTTGAGGCTGCAAGAATCATAACAGGCCTCACGAAATATTCTAAAATCGAATCATAATATTACCAACCTGGATTGATAAAACTATCTGAACGTAATATTATAATATTGTGCACAATAGAGCGCTAAATTACCTAACTAATTTTAACCCCCGCTGATGCTACTCCTAAATTTTATAATCTCCGCAATTCGAATGATATCCCGATCCCCTATTCTCGTACTACTGTTTATCAACGATCGTTCTTTCCGTCTACCATCCATGATTGGAATTCATTAGACGCCAATTTAAAAGAACCCCCTTAATAAATTATTTCAAACGCAATCTTAAAAGCCGTTTTTTTTTCATCAAATTCAGCCCCAGTTTACTTTGGTGCCGGAGATAGGAAAGAGAATATTTTATTAACTCGAATTTGTCATAATTGCAGCGGTTAAATGCTGATCTTTTCAAAATTAATGTAATTTCCAATCCTTCTTGTAGATGTGGCTACCATAATGAAAACTCATTTCATTACTTTTTTAATTGCCCGATTTACCACGCTCAGCTTAGTATTTCTATCTAATTTGTCTGACTATGATATTAATTTAGAGTTGATTTTGTGTGGAAATCGTACTTTCTCTGTCGATACTAATATTTCCATTTTAAATCATGTCCATGAATATATTAAAGTCTCAAAACGCTTTTCATAATCAAGTATTATCGTATAACTAATTTTTGTACATTATTCTCTGGTTGTCGGTTTATTTATATATTTTTTTCCTTTCTATTAATATATATAATTTCGTTTCGTAAGATTCCATAGTTGTTTTGATCGATTCCCTTCACTGTTAGACTAACAGTGTTAGTATAAAGTTTTGTTTTCATGTCTTGTTTATATATTGTTTATAACTTTGTAAGAAGAAGATTTGTCCTAAGTTTTTGAAACTTGTATCCAATCCTGTTGAGTATTTCAATAAAATATGTTTAAACTAAGGCACAATTCTTGACGGATTTTGACGAAACTTGATGTTAGTGTTCGTAATCACCCAAAGATGAACCCTATTGAAAATCAGAAGAATCGAAAAATATTTAGTATGAGTTATTGCCCTTGTTCTTGAAAACGCGTTCAATTTTTAGCTTGTAATCACTCTAGAAGGCACAATTCTTGCTGGATTTTGATGAAACTTGGTGTGAATGTTTGTAATCACCCAAAGATGAACCCTATCAGAAGAATTGAAAAATATTAAGTATGAGTTACTGCCCTTGTTCTTGAAAACGCTTTCAAATTTAGCTCTTAAACACTATAAGGCATGATTCTTGCTGGATTGTGACAAAACTTGGTTTTATTATTCAATCCCGCGCTGAAGATTGAATATTTGCCTTCTAAAGTTTTCACGAGCTAAAAATTGAACACGTTTTCAAGGACAAGGGCAATAACTCTTACTCAATATTATTCATTATCGCCCTAAAGAGTTCAAAAGAAGTGTAGTACCGGGTACTGAAGGTTGAACCCTATCGAAAAAAAAAATACAAAAATGTTTCGTAGGATTTTGACCGCGTGATTGAAAACGCTTTAAAATTTTAGCTCTTAAACACTAAAAGGCATGATTCTCGTCGGATTTTGACAAAACTTGGTTTTATTATTCAGTACCGCGTTGAAGGTTGGATATTTGCAAGACGCCGAAACCACACCTTCAAGCTTGACAACGCTCGTCCACACGCTGCCATAGCCTTCCTCCATCAGCATAACATCAGAGTAATGCCATGGCCCCCCAGTCCCTTATACACAATAGAACACTTGTGGGATGACATACAAAGACTACTGAACCAGATCCAACCGCTTCCAAGATATGCAGCAGAGCTCAGTGCAGCTTTCCTAAGAGTCTGGGCGCAGATTCCAATGCCGTCTGTAAATCATTAGTGCCACTCCATGTACACAAGATGCCGGGCCGTTATCAGCGCACAAGGTGGACAAACTAGATATTGACTTTCAGCCTCCATCTGTAAAGATCAGTGATCAGAACCTTGATATAGCAATAACTTGAAAGACACTCAAACAATCCTTTGGGTCAAATGTGGTTGTTTTCTGGCAATTATATATTATTTTATTGAAATTTGAATAATCAATGCACTATTTTCTTTGCTTTGCGACGTTTCTTTATCTGTTCAGTATATATAGGCCTGTACAATATATAACCACCCACAACGTGATATACTCTATCTGATGAAATCGGTTATAAATGGACAGGTTCGTCATTTTGGGGTGTTGATTTGAGTCTTGATTATATGTAAATAGCCTTCAGAAGTGTTAGAAATGAACGAAAATACTATTGTCTGAGTAAAAAAAGAAATTTCCATTATTTTTCAGAGAATTGCGTTATTGAAAATATAAATATAAGCACACATTATGTCTTCAAAATTTGATTATACAGAGGACATTTTTCAGACAAAATTTGGGATTTATTTTTGGTTGATATTTGTAGGAGAGAAATGTGTTTCTTTTCAATGTAAACTGACAAAAAATTATACTTCATCAACGCAAAGACATTTTAAGACTAAAATTTCTTGAGAGAACACTCTAAGACGTACGATTATGACACCACCACAGAGTAGCCAAAATTTGAATTCAGCCTCATTGCAGTTGTCCCCCCAGTCAGTCTGCCTCCTATTTGTTACCCCAGTCTAGGAAGGCTCGCACCGCCACTGCTTACAAACCTGGGATTGTACTAAAAGGTAATACACTCTCATGTAAATTTAGGTTACAAAAAATCCCATGACTAATAATGGGCAGCAAATAAAATACCGTCCATACCAAATTTGCCAGTGAAAGGGTTGCTATGGTTAATCAATACAAAAATCTAATTGGGTTTTTATTTTGGCTCTAATTATTCACAACCGGGAATTTTACAAAATTTCGGACAAACTGATTTAGCCGATGCAGGGTCGTTGCATAATCCGTAATCCATAAAGAACTGACAATCGTAGCCTGGTTTATCCACACATTGTAAACTAGATGATGTAACTGTTTGAGTGGATTGACGAATTGGTGGTGTGGACTTGGTGTCTGGATCTGAAAGGAAAAGTGACTTGGATTTGCATAATCTTAAATGTATACAGTCAAGTAACGTAATTTCGTGCTAACCTATTTTTCGTGCATCTCCAGAAATGATTAATAATTTACATTTGCGACCTCGCGTGACTTCCGCATTTAATTGTTTTGATAAACATGGGTTTTCTGTACAATATCAGCTAGTAGAATGAATCCACTTGTTTCAAGCAAGGTAAAATTTATTAATGTCTACTTTGATAAATACAAAATGGCGGATTTCAGTTATTTCCAATTTTTTATCGGCCGAATTTCCTTATAATCGCAAGCTGTAATCGGCATTTCAAGTGTCGTCTGCTAGAATGTAGTCTAACAATGAAGTCACGTGATCAACTAGCGAATTCCGTGTCAGCAGAAAAATTCTATGGAACACAATGTGTGCCATATTGTTTTGTTGTTTCAATGACTTTTAGCAATATATTACTCTTACGTTTTACTTATTACTTTTACTTTACTTATTTTGTCAATCACTATTTTTTTTCAAAATCGTTGGTATTTCAAGGAATTGTCACTAGTTATAATGAATTGATATTAAAGATAAATACTAAGAGAAGTTAATCATACCACTGGGTATCCATACAACGTGTTTTTCTCGACTTATTTATAGATCAAACTTGTACACGACATAGGGGACGCATTTTGTCGCCATAGTCGAGTTGGTTACTCATGAAATATGGGTCAAAGTGTGGGATTCACAAAGAAAATCGAAACAAACCAAATTTTAATTATTTTGTAGAATAGACGTGTCGGTATCAAGACAAGTCTGAAACATCTTACTTTCTGACAGGCCAGAAAAATTCCTTCTGTAATGCCATTCGGTAGTCCTCGGAAGTTCCCGTAAATGTGAATCGTGTGGAGCACTATGCAGAACTTTGACTGTAACTCTTTGATGTTTTCAGGTGGTGTGAAGTAATGAGCAGAATAAAACGAAATAAAATATGAAGAAAAAAAAATATCATATACCTACCGCATAATTTACAATAATTTTTACAATTTTTACCAGACCAATGAAAAAACCTCTTACAGACTGCAGGTCCATACAAATTACAGTTGTCAATTAAATCTAGGCATGGTAAATCTGTTAATTAAATTATTAAATACATGTATAATGAAGGGGGGGTAGATAATAATATGTAGATTCCAATAAATGGGCCGTAGCTCATTCAATTTGAAATAAATGAGGATCTGAATAGAAGTTTTCTTACCGCATAAACCACAGAATTTGCGACAGTTGTCTTTTGACCAGTCTGGATATTTGTGACAAACATTAGGCGTAGATCTATTGTACTGATGACAGTTCAGTATGACGTCTATACAAATATGTTTTGATAATTCTGAAACGGAACATAAAGCTATTTTGTGTTTTGTAAGATATGGATAAATAAAAAGGGTTTATGAAGGCTATATTAGCACATATATAGACGCAGTATTCCTTTTAAGATAAAATACATTTTTGTACCCACCTTTCCTTCCACATATCACTATTTTCATTACAGATTTATCAAGCTGAATCCAGCCAAGCTAAAATAAAGAAACCTCTATGATGATGACTCAAGACCGAAAAAAGAATGTAGGGTATCAAAATAACCTGCAAATTACCAGTTCGGGCCGAAATTACACGTGATCAATTTATTTAAGGTAGAGAAGTTGTTCTTCCTCCCACCTACCCTTCCCCCCTTCCAGCCTTTAGCCTACATCAATTAACCGCAAGTAAAGATATATAGTAATATATTGCCTGTGAAGTATAGTTGACATGGTACCAAGTATCGTCATGTAAACCACTCACAATATCTATGACCTCAACACAGGTCTTAGTTGGAATGGTGAAATTATCAGCATCACCTTTTACTTGGTATTCTGTATTTAAACAGAGACAATCTAAAGCTATAAAATATATGATCTTTTAATGGCATATTAGAAGCACAAGATGTAGATAAATAAGACAATTTAATAATATATTATATTCCTGGTGACGGTGTGAGAACCACATTGAAACGTTGAAGTAATAAATATACCAGAAGTATCTATCCATAAAATTGTCTTATTTATTTATTTATAAAGTATATGGTTAAATAATCTAATCAATCTACATTAAAATTCAGGTCTAGATATTTGTTTCCTTTATTTCCTGTGGGCTAGGCTACTAAATATATTCTAAATATGACAACATTTTCCACTTTCCGCAAATTTGACCCGATAACAATGTAATTTATACAAATTTATAAAAATCATTAGAGTTGGGCTCACATACAATAAAACTCAACTTTCGAAATAAAAACCCCATTCTTCACAGTCCCTAAAAGAACAGAACAACATTTGATAGGCGAAAAAAAAAATGTGTTCAGATCCTTGTTATGAATGAATTGACTCACAGAAAATATAATATAATTTTGTCAGTGTTGAATGCGACGTTGAAAAAATATTCCTTAACACAGAAAACTGCCATTGTACCAAACTAAATAGTTGAACACTACTATTCCATATGAGCAAAAATTTACGGGAAACAAAACGTTTAATTTGTCTGACACATCCAAAAAAGTCAAAATCAAAATGTCGCCCAAATGTTCGACAAATAATATATGAACCACGTCACCCGTTACATCTTTTTTTTACATGTAATATGTACCTCTGGTAGGCCTACTTACAGGTAGCAGCATAGACTTCATGTACCGGTACAGCTAACTTCAAAATGAAAATTGTACAAAGAACTGCGAATTTAACCATCTTGAGAACCTACTGGAGTAGGCCTACTTTTTACAGATTAAATTTATTCAAGATAAGATAAGGCGCTCACCATTTCAGAAGGTTACTTATACTATTTCACATTTTTCGATGAGTGAGTTCACGTAGAGTAGAGGGACAATATCAATTTATAATATGCCTCATTTGTTTAATAATATTAGACATCGAAAAACCTAAAAAACACACACACACTTGGAACATGGCTCTGAGCAACTCAATACAGGTACGGAAATTAAATCGAACCAACATATTATTCGGTTGAATGCACCGGAAGTTGATCGAATGCTAAAAACAAACCGACTGTGTAAATAAATAGACTTGTTCACTACAAGGAACAAAATAGAACATTTTTAATAATTTTCTTTTCACTATTTCACAATCCTTTCACAATCCTGAATTCCAGACCATCTTCTATTACCAATGCAATTTGTCTGTGACTGACTAGAACTACTTAATTTACATCATACTAGTAAATCCAATGTTATCACTTTCCATCCGACTATCGAGATCAAGATTGCCAGAATTACACGCAATTGAATATACCTAAACCTCACTGATCTTTGCAAGATCCACTGCATGTATCATCATGTTTTCTGCAACAGCTCATCAAGTTGCTAAAGCTCTGGGAAAGGAGACTCTCCTCCCTGTTCCAAGTATTAACACTGCAGACAACATTGAAATTCTACGCATTGTCATCAAGAAAAGAAGAAAGTGGCTCTTTTTTACCAGAAAACCACATTATGAAACAACAGAATTCACCCTGTCTGATGTCCTTCTTGGTGAACATCAGAAAGAATTTGAAGTCCTTCCACTTGATACACATGTTTTAACAGCTTACAATAGTAAATCAAATCTGTCATTGAAAGGTAAATTTGGTGCTGATTTGACTAAAGAACTGTTGGATGTGAAACTTGGTTCAACTGATAGTGTTGTTGTCAGCAGTCAGTTAGGAGTTTTGAATAAAACTGAAATATCAACACCAAAACTGCTACATCTCTTAGAGAAGAAGTAATGATAACTTATTTCTCAATATAATTTATATCTTTAATTGTGCTATAATTGGGCAAAATTATTTGTGGTTGTCACAATCTAACAAGATTCAAAATATCAGAGTAACATTAAATTTGGGTTATCAATTTGGTCCATGCAATGCTTTAATTATTTGGCAACACCAACAGCCTGGGCAACTTATGGCAACTTTCAGGAACTCCAAATTTTTGTTGTCTTTGAAACCAGTTTGAATCATTTGATTAGATTCAGCAAAAAAATGCTGGCTGTCCCAGCTCCGATTTTACCTTAGTTGACCCAACACCAACATTAAAAACTTTTGAATCAACGTCTGCAGTAATTTTTCAGGAAAATAGACTTGCATCATCCTCTTATTAGCGTGGTGAAAGATAATGGACATAAAACATTGTGTATCATAACTAGTATTATTCATCTGAAGGATAATGGTAAAATTACCAGTGATGTTGATTTAGAGGGGGATGGAGAATTTGATTCAAAGGTATGTTGAGAGAAATCTTTCTTATTAGTCCATATTTAGGAACAGAGCTGGGCCATTCTAATTTTTACGGCCATGCATAATACTTTATATTTGAGATTGATTGTTTTGTTGAGAAGAAGGTGTATTAGTACATTAATTTGAGTGATGATATTCTTATCTATAATGGTATGATATATTCATATATATGTATATGATTATGATGTATTTGTAGCCTTTAAGTGTAGATCTTGAAGGAGATGTAAAGGAAGATAAATCTAAATCAATGGTAATACCTAAAAATACTAGTATAGCATTTTCTATGGTTGAGTTATTAGTGTCTGTTAAAGATGGTTCCATACAGGTAATTTTATCACATGATGAAAATGGTGGATTTACAACTGAAAATTTTGATGTTACTGATGGACCTGTTCACCCAGGTAATTAAATTTCTTATAAGTCAATTTATATAGAAGACTTATGTCTAAAGTCCATAGCTAGACAGTTAGGGGTTGTTTATCTGTAAGATTACTGAACTTATGTTTGCAGCATGAGATGAGCTCTGTTAGTGAGATATGAGATGTTTGTTCTTTAGAAGAATAGATTTTGCTTAATTAGTTGAAGTCAAATTTTGAAAAGTTAACCTCTCTTTCCAATAAAGAATGTTTTCTGAAACGCGGGGATGGTAAAATAGTACAGGTGATCTCACTACCATCTACAATATCTCATTTAAGAAAGTTGAAAAAGTGATCCATTATGTATCTATCTGATGTTTTTATACTATGTAGGATAGTATAGCTCAGCAAATTATAATGAAGATGTCAGACATGGCACCCAAATTTTGATAGCTTTAAAATGTTATACAAACAAATAGTGCTTTGAATTATTGTAGAATGTCCAGAAGAAATTCTAAAGGTTTTTAAAGAAAATGGTAAATGTAAGGAAGTTTTAAGATCTGTTCAACATTTATTACAAACACCTAAATCTATTAGATCACTAATGGAATTGGTAAGTTGATTAAATTACTTAAATTATAGCAAGGGTTAAGTTAGACAAAAAAGAGTTCGTTAAATCGGTGGTAAATATTACAGCTAGTCAGTTGAAGCTTCAACCTTTCAATTATTTCTCTTTTCTGATAATTTTTCATAGATTGAATCACCTGCTCAATAAAGGCATGCAATTTCCAGCTTGCACTTGATAGTGGCTTTACTTGCATAGCTAGAAATTCACTAGTGAATATATAATAATTCATAATAGAAACAAAATGTATACAATACCAAGATATTGTTAATATCTCATCAAGTAAAGATAAATAAATTTTTAATTACCTATGATGGTCTTTTCCTGTCTTCACAATAACTCAAATTATTTAGAAATTAAACAATATGACGCAAAAAATTCATATAGACTTGGCGTCAAATTGCAAAATTTTAAAAGTTTTCTTAACACTTTAAAATGCAAGGGACATTAATGTATTATTTTACATCTAATTGTTGATTTCTGGTAAAATTGTAAAATGGTACTAGTGTCATCTGTTGATGAGGCATGGTACACTGGTGAAATGATATGTTGTTCTTGTGATAGTTTCAGGAAGTGGAACTAAGTCATGATTTAAATATATTACAAGCCTATACCAAACAAAATCTTTATGATGAGTTTGATATGGAAGAATCTCATAATTATCATCCATTTTTACTCCTTGCAGACTTCCATTTTAAGGTAATTATTTATCATTATATATAGATTGATATTAGAAATTTGTAATGGTTGCGAGGGCTAACACATGCTGTCATCTGGGAAAATCTGATCAATTGCTGGATTTTGTTGGTCTGTGAGCAGAATCAACTTCTGAGACCATCTAGGTCATTGCAATGCTAGTACCTCTTCAATATCTAGTAGACATGCATTGCTTTGGTAACAGCAACAGATTTGATGAGATACTTTGAATTGCCAGTCAAACAGATCTTGAAAAGGGTAAGTCAAGTGAGAGCAAAAAGGTAAGTGTTCTCTGGTCACTAGTAGTGACCAAGTCATGTGAGTTATTACATTTTTATTCTCAGGATGAGAAATTATTGATACCAGATGAATCTAGCAGTATGTTTAATGCTTGCCATTTTCTACTAACATTATTACATGAATTAGATGAAGACAATATATTAGATGTATTAGCTCAATGTCTGATGGTCACAAAAACAACTTTAAATACAGTTCCAGTGGTAAGTATAAACAACTTTTAAATGTTAAATTTCATAGATTTGTCATCAGATCTGAAGCTAACAGGCATATTTAATTTTCCAAAGAATATTTTTTCGTTGTAGGAAAAAAAAACACTTTTTTTACATTGTTTTCTAATTAAAACAATTGAAATTCAAAAGAGGTAGAAAGCCCGCTTAAAAATTTATGAAATTCAGCACAGCAATTTTATAAAATCATATTTGATGTGCGGTAAATGAAAGTATCCTGGAATACAATCCTGAGATACAAAATGCTGTAAAATTTAAATTTATTTATAACATTTACAAAAAAATAATTAATATTTTTTACAGCTAAGAAAGTTAAAAGAAAGTAAAGATCATGACATCAAATTTACTGAAGAGATGATAGAGAAGTTAACAGCGACACCTATCAATGATTTAATGTTTGCTTTAGAAATTGTTGTCAAACCTTCCAGTCTCTTGGTACATGTTCCATCAAGGAGTAGACTTGATCTACAAGCTACTTATTATATTTTGAATTCAGTTTTACAATAAAACTTCTTCAATCACTCCAAAATTTAGTTTACGCATAATTCCAAATTTACAATTCTCAGTATAATTTTCTTACGTAGTAGAATTTGAATTCTGAAAGGCAGATAATTTAATTTGTATTTTTGTTAGGCTATGATCATTTAATAGGGGTAAATTAACAGAAATCTTTATAGTTTATGACAGAATGTCATATCATAAGATTAATTAAACAAGTATTAGAGATATGTAATTTTAACAATATAATTTTACGTATAAGTAGATATTGCATAATGTTTGTGCTCAAGTATTATTTTGTCACAATGTTCAGATGTTTATTATTGTTAGTATTTTGTTTATATTATCCTAATGATGTGAATCAAATGTTTTTTTTTTTAGAAATCTGATGTAATTTATACATTTTCTAAGAGGGGTTGTATTTTTATTTGCAAATAATAATGAACATGATAATGTGAGCTTGTATTGTTGTATACCAGCCGATACTGTTGAATTCAAGGGCGGCGATCCGGGGGATGGATAATTATAGTCTTCTAAATATTTGCTTTATCTGCAGAAAAAACTCTTTTTTTTTTGGTGATTGTAGCAGAAGCAAAGTACACTCTCCAATTCTGAAAGTTACTTAAGATAGCTTAAATTGAGCTTATAAAGCATATATTTAAATAGTTGTATCCATCACTTATTGCTTGCTATCAATTGTTAAATGCCCAGTTGCTTAATATCTGACACTCACAAGTTTGAACTGAGCAAAACTAAAATTCTGCTTCAAACGAATAGCTTGTTTAAAACTTAACCTGGATAAGAAATCAACACCAAAATTATCTGAAGTTGAGTTTTTGTGAAACATGCCCCAGGTCATGAAGTAAACAAAGAAAACTGTGAACATGTATACATTAATTTTATAAGATATACTTAATGTGTTTTATGTACTTTTGACTTTCAATGTTTTTCTCTTCTATATCTGACTTCCAATGAGTTATTGCAAAATATTTTTTATAAAGTTTAAGACAATTTTCAGTATGGGCTGACTAATTTCTATTTTGTATAACATGATAGTTTTTCCTGTATTTTTGTTATTTGCATACTGCAGTTTTATACATTCAAATTCATATGAATTATTATCTTATTTTGATAGAAGAAAGTTAATGAAATTTTGACAGCAGGGAGATCATCTCAAGATATATGCTGTCTAAAATAATTACTTGATCATTGTTTTAATGGGATGAAAAAGAAAATTTCAGACGGGTCATCCTGTATCTACTATGCCTCTATGCTAATTATATTTTTTAAGAATATCTCCTTTCACTTTTATTGAATCTCATTTATATATTATTTTTATAAGAATAATGAAGATGTTATTTCAGAGATTTTTATATGAGAAAATATTTATTCTACCTTTTACAAGCACTGTTTTATTTTATGCAGACTTATCATGCTCATTCTATGGTATATAATGTACCATGGTATCTCTTTGGAAGTGTTTTATGTTTTGAAAATAGTTAAGAAGAAAAAAGGTAAAATCTAGAATTATTATTTTTCTCTTTAAATGCTCAAGTCTAGTCTCAATCTTTTTTATTGTTTGTTAGATCAATTGTTGCCTTATTGCTTTACCAGAGAGTAGAATATGTCTAGCCAGGTTAATCTATGATTAAATCAAAACAGTATTTTGCAAGGGAGTGACATCATCTTTCTTCTGAATGTCATTTATTTCTGAATTTTTTTTGATTGCTTTCTAAAACTAGTTCAAAAATATATTCAAATTACAACTGTGCATTTGGTTTTCACTATTCAGGCTACAATTTTTTATATAATGTTAGAATTACCTGAAAAGGTTTAAATCTGCTGTCTGTGTTTATGAATTTCAATATGCCATTCTATTTTGAAGCTGATAATTCTGTTTTATAATAAAATTTGTCAAAGCAAATGGGCAGAAATTTTACAATTCTAAAAGGAAATTCACCATGAAATAGCCATTCTAGCTTTCTCAAGGTAAGCACCTCAAACTATCTCCACAAAAGCTTGGCAGCCATCTTTCTACCCAATACTATATGGAATAACCAAGGAAAACCACACAAGAATTAAATGAAAGTTTTTATTATATTTAAAATCTGTGGAATATAATAATCAGCCATTCCCCATACAATAACTTGAACCGATTAAATTTAGCACTGATAAGAGATATATAATCAAAATCACAAAAGAACACTCATCAACAAAGATAATTACAATTATCTTTTCCTGAATTATATGGACCCAATTTTTTTGTAAGAACAAAAAATTCAAAACTAGAAATGCAGAATAAAGAGAATCCATTAAGAATAATAAAATTGCAAAAATGGAAAAATCAGAAGGTATTGGTAATATCATCAAAATAAAGCTTATTAAAAAAAAAAATACACCAAAACCAATTAACAATTGTATATAAAAACTCTCACAGAAAGTTGTCCACACATAAAACACGTAATGAATGTAACATAGTGTTGTGATAACTGGTAGTTTAAAAAAAAATACATTCTTCAATTGATGCCTAAATTTTCAATAAAAAATGGTTTAGAAATTACAAGTTGAAGTTGATCAAAAGTTTGTAAAACAATCAAACAATTTTGAGAAGAGTTCCACAGATAATATTCCACTTCAATGTGAAAGATACTTTACTTTCGATTAGAAGAAATTAATGACAGATTTCTCTTATTCCAAACTAAAGGAAGAATCCTTCACATTTCAGCCAAACAAAACATCTTATATGCACACCCAGTCTATTTGGGTTGAAAAATGTGGTGACTTTGTAAACCAGGGTTAGTCTGTGGCCTTTTGTCATGAGTGGGTTGTTTTGGTTCGTGATAATGTTTAACATGTGCCCCATGTTCCTGTGTTAGATGACTCTAAAAATAAAATAACAATGTTATGAGATAAAATGATTTAAAACATTTATACCTACAGCTTTACAATGTACAAACAGTTTGAATTTAGTAAGTACAATGTAGGGAAACATACTGCAATTGAGTCTTTTTTATACTGCATTTGGCTCATACTAAATATTTTTCAGTTATTCTGATTTTTAATATAGTTTATCCTTGGGCGATTACAAACACTCACACCAAGTTTCGTCAAAATCTGTCAAGAATTTTGCGCTAAAAATTGAACGTGATTTCAAGAACTAGCGCAATATCTCACACAAAATTTTTTCGATTTATCTGATTTTCAGTAGGGTTTATCCTTATCCTAAAAACACTCATACAAAGTTTCGTCAAAATAGGTCTTGTGCCTTCTAGAGTGGTTACGAGAACAAGGGCAATAACACAAATGAGCAAATGTGGACGGACCAACGGACATGGGTGAAGCCAATATACTTCACCAGATCAACACAGCAGAAACATTATATTTGTCAGCAATATAGGTTCAAATGCAGGTGTATGAAAATATAGCCTAGAATCTATCTATATCTCATAGCTTGCCAGATCAAAACATGACGTAGACACAACAGCAATAACTCTGAAACCCTTCATGCGCTTTTTACCAATTTCGAACTTGACTGAGATCTCGTAAGAATCTACATGCATCCCAAGTTCCATCAAGATCGAATAAAAACTAGTTTTTAACGTGCCTACATGCCAAATTTTACGCATGTTTACTTAGTCACAGGCATTAACATTGAAATCGGTCATTCAATTATTACCAATTTCGTACTTGACCGAGATCTCATCAATATATACATGCTTGGCTTGTATGCTCGAAGGGCTACAATTTTTTTTTCACTCTTGATGAAACTTAGTATGCATTGATGAGATCTCGGTCAAGTACGAATTGGCAAAAACAATATCAGGTATATTTTTTAGTTTATATGATAAACTTACTTTAGTAACTGGTCCACTCAGCTCAGCATTTGGTTGTGTACTAACAACAAACAAACAAGAGATAATATATATGAAACCTTTTGTTCATAGGGTGTAGAATAGATTTTTTTTTTTAAATATATCAGGCTCAAAAATGAAAGTTATCTTTTGTTACCATTTGTGTGGATCAAAATAGAATATAACTAACACCAATTTAGAAATTACAGATTTTAATTCAAATGTCTGTCACCCATATTTCTGGACTGAAGAACATTGCATAATTATGCTTTAATTGCAGACAAGTTGTAGTAACTGAACATTCAAACATCAATAAAATTGTCTTATCAGCCCAAAAATTTTTTAATTCAACTCGAATCAAGCTAAATGTAGTAATTCCTCATTGTAATATTCATTTACCTTAGAAAGCTGCTTGTATCAGGCTGAATAGCTTTTTTATCATCTGAATCTTCATTAGAAGCTCCATCATGGTGAGGCTTAGATGATTTTGCTACTCTCATACCTCCAACCTTTACTGAAAACACAAAACAAAGCAAGTTTTGGATACACTTTTTCAAATGTTCATGACTAATGTTTTCTATACATGACTTGCTCTCTGATCACACTGAAATGTCTGAATTTAACCCGTCATTTTAAGAAAATTCAAGGTGATGTTTTGTGTCATTGGTACATATTTTATGAAAAGTCTTTTTGGTACATATTGAAATATATGGTTTCAGAAGTTTACTAAAGGGATTGTATAGAGGTTTTCTTATTATTTTATGTGTATCAAGCGACACTGATATCATCAATTTGCATTATTCCAATTTCCAATCCGACGTCTTTACCTTTTTACAATCCTTTTAACGATGACACTAAACTACATCTAGACTATAAGATTACTATGCATAAATTGGATTTATGTCTGTAAAAATTTTTCTTAACTCTTTCAACCACATAATTACAGTATATATACCCTAGACCGAAACATCTGTCTCTATTCTAGACTCTGATAACTATTTGGACAGATGTAGGCTGGTGTTGAGACAGAAAAAGAAAGACTTGTTAAATTGGGACTTTCCGCATCAGATGTGGGGGTTTTAAACCTATCTAGATACCTCAGATCTGCAAAACTCTGATATTTAGAAAGACGAAAATTTTTATAGTTCAATCATACCATCAATTTCTCCCTACATCATTTAAGTCACGTCTACATTTAAACTTTTTTGTTTTTTGTTTACAAAACTGATCTTTCATCCGCCTTTTAAACAAAAATTCAAATGTCACAGTGTACTAACAAAACAAGAGTTACAGTGATGCCTCACTAGTTTACAGTCATCGCAAAGGCGATTTCATGTTAGAAAAAATGCACCTTCGGAGGTGTTGATAATCCCCATTTAACAGGGTCTTTGTTTTCTGACTCCAGCCGACAACTGTTAAAAATTCATCAGAGGCTGGAATAAAGGCAGATGTTTCAGACCAATATACCCAAGCAGTGGGTAAACCCGGCTGTTACCAAATGATGTCACACAATGTAAACTCATAGGCTGTTAACTTATATTAATTGAAGTTCAGGGTACAGTCGAGTAACCTAATTCCGTGGAAACCTATTATTCGTGGATTTTCGGAAAGGATTAATAATTTACATGAGCGACCTTGCGCGACCTCCGCATTAGTTTGTTTTAATAAACATGGGTTTTCTGTACAATGTCAGCTAGTAGAATGAATCCAGTAGTTTCAAGCAAGGTAAAATGTATTAATGTATAGTTTGACAAATACAAAATGGCGGATTTCACTTATTACCAAACGTTAACATTTTTTATCGGCCGAATTTCCTTATAATCCCTAGCCATAATCGGAATTCCAAGTGTCATCTGCTAGAATGTAGTCCAACAAATGAAGTCACGTGATCAACTAGCGGATTCCGTGTCAGCAGAAAATTTCTATGGAACACAAAGTGGACCATATTCTTATGTTGTTTCAGTGACTTTTAGCAATAAATCACACTACGTATCTTATTTTGTCAGTCACTATTTTTTTTCAAAATCGTGGTTCTTTGAAGGAATTGTCACAAGTTATAATGAATTGGTAATTATACCACCCAGTATCCATACAACATGTTTTTCTAGACCTATTTATAGTTCAAACATTGTACACGAAAATAGGTGACGCATTCTGTCGCTGTTGCCGAGTTGGTTGCTCATGAAATATGGGTCAAAGTGAAGAATTCATAAAGAAAATCGAAATAAACCAATTTTAATTATTTTGTAGAATATCTGAGGAAATATCTAAGACTTAAAAAAATTTTTCGTTTTTTTAACTTTGACAAAATTCGGTGTTGAATCCTTATATCCACGAAAATAGGTTACACCACTGTATATTACATTTATCATATAGTTTAATAATATAGACCCATCCATGCCTTAAAAATTCAATGGTAATTCTCACTTTTATCACAAATTATATTGTCTTATTATGCAAAACTGCAAAAGCTTAGAATGATTCAAATTAATAAGAAGACGAAACTACAATATGGGATCATAACAAGCGGTTAAGTACTTATAACACGCCATGCTTTTGAGTACAAAAAGGTAAATAGGTCACCACAATATAATTTTCTAGTCATAGAATAAGTATGCTGACGTGACGCATATTGTATTTTCTGACTGAAAAAATGCTTTTCTTCATGGAAAGTTCTTCCTTCAAATTAATGAGACAAAAAGTAAAACCTGCTGGTGGATGTCCTGCCTTCAATTCTGGTTCCTCTTGACCTGACATTTTTCTTGTTTGATGCCTTTTTCCACCAAATTATTCTAGTAGTATCAGTAAACACCTCGAGTACTTTCACGGAAATGTCCACGTCATGAATTAATGCGTATCACATGATAAACCTCTAAAGCGCGTTCGATGCCCGACCCCGACCAACTCGAGATCGAAATTCAGGTTGATCAAAAACCAACATATCGAACTACATTGAATATTATGGAAGGCGGAATGGCTTTTTGTTTAATGTTTTTCATTGCTATTGCTTAGTTCTTAATTCTAAATTCTTATCTTTTAATTTGCACGCTTAATTCAACATTTGCTATTGCAAATTGACACTTGTATTCAAAAATCATAATTTGTATTGAAAATAAACATTCTTCGAAAAACATTTCATGGGCGCAGATCGCGGGAGGGGACAGGGGGACTTCTCCCCCAGCCAGAAAACCTGGGAGGTGGGGGGGTTGATTGCATGATATCCTGTGTTTCAACTTAAGTGAAAATTCAAGGTTTTTGATTATTTATTCCTGGAATTATCAACTAGGTGAAAATTAACACCACCAGCTCAACTGAAACGTTCTCATGCCGCTATACTCTGCAATCGAATTAACACGACCCCTTTTGAATAAATCTTGCGTACACCGCTGGTCCCCCGCATTGAAAAAGCTATCTGTGCCCCTGAAACATTCGGTTTTCAAATTATTTAATTAATAGAATTCTCGACAAAAATATCCTCAAATACAAGTCAAGCTCAAAATATCTTAAAATGCAAACGATCATCACAATTTTACCAACAAATGTTCCAATACAAACGTTCAATAACAAATCTTGCGAAACATTTCTCCAAATACATATCAAATATATTTGAAGGTCGTGATTATGACGACAGATGTCGCCCTACAACCAACATAAAATAAGACAGACTATAGATAGCCTTTATCACCCCAACACCCAGTTCAATTTCAACGCTCTCTAATACGACGACATTCTGCAAACGTAAAGACGTGGACAAATTGTTAGTTGCTACGACTGCATTTGTTAATTTTCATGAGCTGGAATAATTCCAAAATTAGGACTGAATAATTATTTTCGGTTTCCAACAAGGTTGGAGAATTTATTTTAGTTGGGCTATGTCGATTGTCCGTAACTTTTATATATAGCATTTAAAGACTTGAGCTTGTGGATCTAGTAGTAGCCTACTACTAAACCTAGTAATCATATTAGTAAATGTAATGTTTTTTTTTTAGAAAGATCACATAGACTAGAGTCTAGGCTACGCCTACCCTTCAGCTTTGTGCCATTGTGGGAAAATCAAAATTTGTAGAGTTCTATGCATGAGGTTATTTTTTCCTGTAATAGAATATATCTTTATCTTGATAATTGAGTGAGATTTTGAACACAAACGGCGAACATTTTCCTGAAAATTGTATCTGTGAAAACAAGTTTTTAATTTCTAATTAAGAGACAATTAAGGCGAAAAAAAAGTAATATTTTTTTTACATTAATGTCATGTCTAAAGAGCGCTTTCATTTCAATAATTAAAAATTAAAAGTATCTTTAAATTAACGCCTTATTCTAAATAATCAAATGATATTTTCATATATCATGGCCCCAGGACGCATCTGTAAAAGAGCGCCGTTCACTTCATTTCAATAAATTAAAATGTAGTTCCAATCTAGATATCTTGAAATAAAATTCTTTTTTTCGCCTTATGAACATAAACTAAATGATAATAGAATAAAATATTTTTTAATTTATCATGGCCCCAGGACGCTTCCGTAATTTACTCAGTGACATTCAAGATTTTATTCATTCTGCCAATATCTTAATCTTGAGTCAATTAATTTTGCCAGTAAACAGTCAAAATGTCCATTATGCAGTATTCCAATTCAGATATTGTTTATTGCAGCCTTTTCAACAAAGGAAGGAGGCAGCGCATCCTTTCCTCTTTCCATGCCGATGACTCTTTGATCAGAGCTTCTAAGTTATATGTAACAAATGGTTGCCTAGTTAGAAACGTCCAATGGACTGATAAATTTTTAATTTGTCCAAGATATTGTTGATTTAATCAATAACAAAATTTTAGTAATTTTTTTTTGACATAAGCTGTCACCTCTTTCGCGTTCACAAGCCGACAAATTTTGATGCCTTTTTAGTAAGTCAAGGGCAATATCTCAAATTCTGTTCATGGAATAATCGTGAAATTCAAACTTGACCTAGATCTCATTGTAATACATGATCAAACACAGATATCATTTAAATCGGATGAAAACTGTCGTCTCATTTTGACGCGTTTTTCCAAAGTAAAGGGCAATAAGACAAAGCCCGTTCAACAAAAAATCGTAAAATTCGAATTTGACCAAGATCTCATCAATATATGATCACACCAAATTTTATTAAAATCAGATAAAAATAGCTTGCCAGGCAAGGTAACATACGCACACTACCAGCTGTCAGAAATATTAACAATATATTCAGTGGCTTAATAATGAATTTTCAAATAATCTTAATATCATCTTTAAGATCAGGCAAAAACCTGAAACAGTTCATAAAATTATCATCAAATTCAAACATGAACAATGTCTCATCGGTGTACACACAAGGGCAATAACTGTTCATCCGATTATTAAAACTGTGGTCTATATTGTGTCAATAACTCCGAAACCCTCATCCGATTGTTACCAATTTCGAACTTGACCGAGATCTCATCAATATATACATGCATTCCTAGTTTCATCTAGGTTGGATGAAAACTGTAATCTCTATCGTGCCTACAATCGAAATTTGACGCCCTTTTAATAACTCAAGGGCAATCACTCTGAAACAGTTCATCCGATTATTACCAATTTCGAACTTCACTGAGATCTCATCTATACATGATGCAAACCAAGTTTCATGAAGATCGGATAAAAACTGTAGTCTCTATCGTGCCTACAAGGCAATTTTGACGCGTTTTTACTGTCAAGGGCAATTACTCTGAAACAGTTCTTCCGATTATTACCAATATCAAACCTGACCGAGATCTCATCAATATATACATGCTTACCAAGTTTCATCAAGATCAGATAAAAACTGTAGTCTCTATCCTGTCTACAAGAAATGTGAACGGACGGACAGGGGCGACGGCAATATACGTCCACATTTCCATGTGGGCGAATAAAAACTGTAGCCTATATTGTGTTCACAAGCCAATTGTGGGTGGACGGACAGGGGCGACGACAATATACGACCACAATATGATTTGGGGGTATAAAAACTGTTTTAAGTTAGGGAAGGCAATTTATTTCAACATAATTTTTAAATATACTGCTTTTTACAACAAGAAAAGCCTTTGACAATCACTAACATACAAAATACACTTAGATATAAGCGTACAGCCTATATTTGAAAACATACACTATGAATTGAATCATGTTACTTTGAAATTGTAACCAGGTACATCTGAGTGATGATCCACTAAGTACTAGTGTGTACTATGTACTAGAAAATTTGTAGTAGAGTGTACAGTATTTTATACTCAGAAATAGTAGGTTACAAACTAAATTAAAATCAAATTCCATGTAAAATATCAATAACTGAAATAACCATCATATTAAAACATCATACTAATGAAGAATTCATATTGAAGAAGAAACTATCTTCTTTCCGAGAATAAATTGAACAAATTCGTTTACATTTTCATAAAGTCATAAACATGATTGAGATAATAAAAATGGAGGACACCATATACTGTACAATTGAAGAAATTTGATCAAAAACTAACCTTTTTAAGTCTTCAATTCCCTTTGACTTGGTCAGACCCACACCACTGATAAGGGAGTAACCATGATAATGAAATTTCAACGTGTGCCAGACTTGTCCCTCATAGGTGAGTGTCTTACTGAACCACTGACACAATATAATCAATAACCCTTACAAGCATCACTATTCTGGTCTGAGTAAGTTGACAAAGGTTTGAAAAAGAAGCTCAGTTTATGATGAAAGAATAACAAGTCATTATAATTTGGAATTACAACATACTGACTTCAGCACAAACACATCACAAATGATATGAAAAGATTTTGATCAAATGGAAAATCTTAGTATAAAATAGACACTAAACATAGCGATGGCCCATAGTAATACACCCACCATTGTAATAGCTGTTGACATGAGCTATCAATAAATGAAATATTTCAAGAGTAACATTTTCAAACTGCAAGCTTTTTTTTTATTTTCAACAAGTTTTGTCTAAATCAGTCCAGAATTTTGTCTTCTGGAGTTTTAAGAGCTAAAGACTGAACACAATTTTAAGAACAAGGGCAATAACTCACATTAAATATTTTTCGATTTTCTGCTATTCAATAAGGTAAGGTATGCAACCAAGTTTCTTTAAAATCTGTTGAGAATTGTGATTTCAAGATCAAGGGCAATAACTCATATAAAATACTTTTTAGATTTTTTTTGAATAACTATAGGGTACATCATTGGGAAATATTACACAATTTAACCATGTTACGTCAAAATCCGTTAAGAATTGTGCCTTCTAGACCTTTCACAAGTTAAAAATTGAATGTGTTTTTGAGAACAAGGGCAATAACTCATAGTAAATATATTTGGTTTTGTCTGATAAGATTCAAGATTCTTAAGTTCAGAAGTACTAGAAATGTACGAAAATTGCGTAATTCCTACAAAAATACCTCAAATTACCTTTACTTCTATGTGCCATGACAGAGTCTCAAGAAATGTGGAGTCGTCTTTTTAACTTTCAAATTTTGGATACACATAGATTTTAACAGTGAGCTCTGAACACTATTACTGATTAGCTTTGTCTAATAAATTCCCGTTTCTGAGATTAGTCAAACCTGTCCCTTTAATATTATCCCAGGTAGTCCTAAGTTATGAATATTACAGACTTCTTATACTTAAGGCTAAAGCTTCTTTCAATATCAGCTGTAACTAGTTTGCTCCGCTTTGAATTTTTAATACAATTAATGAGGAAAAACCATTATTCTATTGTCGCAATTGTAGTAATTTCAGTAGTTTTTAAAAAGGAATTTAAACACAACATATTAACAAGAGTCACATCCAAATAATAGTTTTATAATCTGTGATTTCTGTTAATCTGTCCTTACAATCATATCTCTCTAATAAGGTAGCTTAACATGTTACATTCAAATCATATCAAAAGCAAACAACCAAAATAGGTGTATCGAGCACCCAAGTTGGACAGTTAAAATACAATAATTCTATTGAAAATTCAAATAATTCATTCCTAACTATTCTAGTAAGTTAATTATCAATAGGTGAACTTTTATCTGTTGAAGTTTCTGTTTTAGTTTCAATGTCTGACTTGGTATCTACTAAACCACCATATTCACTAGCCAGAGGGCTGCTTACATTCCCTACACTTTCTTTCACAGTGGTGTCACTTGGGGAGTTATCATTCACAATATGCTTAGCATCACTAATTTCACTTGGCAAGTCTTTTAATGTATTTTTCTCTGTCTGGTCTGTATTTGACCCACTAACACTTTGAACACTTTCAGTTTTAATTGCATCTATTTCAGTCTTAATGGAGCCTAAATCTAAAGCATCACCTTTTTGCGCTACATTGAATGATTCACCCTCTGTTTGGGAATTCAGGTTTATATCTTCTATGGTTTGGGATGCACCAGATTTAAGATGTTCTTTAGGTACATTCACTGTTGATTCCTCACTTTGCAGATAGGAATCTAACTTTTTCTGCAAGTCTAAATTTTTCAGGTCTTCCTCTTTTTGCCGTACCTTAGTACTTCCAGCACGAAGTTCGCCCTCTAGACTGATAAGAGCAGATGAAATCTCACTGAGCTCTTTTTTAAAGACTTCTGTGTCTTCTACTGGTAACGGAACATCATCAGATACAGATTGTTCATCATCTCTTATATACTCTACTTCACTTTGTGTACCAGCTCCATCCTTTTTCTCCTAAAACAAAAACATAAAAAAGGATAATTATGTATTTCTAGCTTGTTGTCACTTTTGTTTTCATTCTGAATAAGGTGCTTATAACCTAGCTTGTACTAAAGAAAATTATTTAGATAATATCCTACCTGTGGCTTGACTATAGGTATAGCTGATTTAGTACGTCTAACTGGAGACCGATGTGGGTTGGTCTGTTGAAGCTCTGGTGGATAATAAATGGTTCCTCCCCTGTATACCTCTGGTTGTTGTGATGGAGGTGACTGAATTTGCTGTAAGTAGAGTGAATAGTGAAATTTTCTTATCGATTCAATGAAAACCTTGTAAACTCATGAAATAGTATGTATTTTATAACTTTAATGATTTTGCCAGGCAGATCAAAATGATGAAGAAATACATCATTAATAAGGTTGAAATTAAAGTAAGTGTCAATTCTTTCCAGTAATATAAGGTGCTACATGTTTGTTGAATAATGAGGCTTGAATAATAATGACATTTATTCTTTTAAATTGTACATTTGTTGAATGTGAAACATAATATGTGAGGGGTATTTAAATCTTCTGTTTACTATTATTATTTAATATTCAAATTAAGCAAATTTGCAGCCTTGTGTGCTAATTGCATTATTAGGTTATATCTTATTGCTTATTAAATCACAGGTTTCCTAGGATCAATTAAGATTAAATTACTAATAGATGTCATTCAGTTTCCATTTTAACTTCAAAATCAATTCTATTTGTATTTGGAAGAATGCATTACCTGAGGAGGATTAGGTCCAGTGTAGCCTAGAGGAACAGGAAAAGCAGGTGGTGGGTTGATCCCCGGGGGTGCAGCACCATATATAACTGGCCCCTGTCCCAGGTAGTTTGGTGGAGGAATCATCGTAGGATGAGGGGTTGGTAAGGAGACATTAGGTGTTATTACTGGTGTAGCGATCGCTGGTGGGGCAGGTGAATACATTCTCGGTGCTGAGGACACTGAAATCAACAATAACAGGAATTTAAATTTTGGCTCTCAAAATAGATCAGTTGTTTTTTTATGGTCAAAATTCATTTTCACTGCTTATCTCTTTATAATGTAATATTTGTAATCACTAGGCCTACTGTGAGACTTGTCAGTACCAAATGGTAATTTCTAGTACAAACCCCAAACTGTATATTGATGATGGATAACTTAATTTCTCACATTTTGAACCTAATTTCTGATTTCCATTCCAACTCTATGCATGATGTTCCAAGGAAATACACTATAGACATTCGTCCTATTGAAGTACACCAACCTGGATGAGGATAAGGTATAGATGGTTGTACTGGTAATATTGGTTGTTGTTGATGTTGATAACCTGCAGGTGAGTCAGGACCTGATGTTGTTGATTGTGAGTCACCAGGATAATATTGATTGTTGGGATATGCTGATGCTGTAATAAAATCATAATGAAAGTATATTTGGTATGTTACAATAGAATGTAAGCATTAGTTCGATTTGGAATGGGCAAGGATACACCTGTCTATAGCAGGGTACAAATTAATTTTTTTTTTATTTGCATAGCAGTTTTTCGCTCTTTAGGCCAAAATTGCATAGCATTTTTAAATTTTGTGGAGCAATTTCTTCTATGATAGTTGAAATTGTATGGCAAAAAAATATTTGTTAATGTTTAATAAAGAAGTAGACCTTAAACCCCAAATGTATTTAAGCATTCCATTTAACACTCAAGTAAATCTAAAATATCTGTCGCCGTAAATAATGCACACTTAGGCCTACATGTTTACTTTTTATAATTTTTCTTCAATAATGGCTTTTCTTACTCCTGATATCTTCAATGTTATTTTCGAAATACTTGCATTTGTCATATTTATTCCTATAGGTCTAAATTTTCAAGGTCGCGTGCATATGATTTTCGATTGAGAAAAGTCAAAACCAACCGATAATATCTAAACCTCGGGTTTGCAGTTTTTCTTACGGAAATGGATATTTATAAGTTGTTATTATTTTGTTTCAAATAGAAGTGTTGTATTTCGATTGTTAAATGATGAAGCATTAATTTTTTCCACCACAATGGCCATATCTATGCTGCTCTACCAACCCCAAAATGTCGTCTGCTATCCACTTCAGCATAATAATATTCCTTATTTAGCACAATCTGACTACTATACAGTTTCTAGTAACAATCATGCCTCCTTTGATTCTGTGACGACTTCCAGTCCTCGAGAAATTTATTAAAAGGTGCGACAAATTAACAGATTCTCATTCTTTCAAACCACAAATTTTATGAGTTCATTTTCATTTATTATTAGAAGATATTATGTATCGCAAAAAACGTTGTCATGGTTCCTCCGACAGAGCTCAACAATCCCACAAGACATTTGAGACTTGATAATCGCGAATTGAAAAGCAAGTTTTTATCACGCAGGCCGCAATAAAAAGTTGGAATGTTTTTATTACGTATGAAGAAACGAAACAATGAATAAATCATTTTTCAACATCTATCGCCTGCGGCGCACTGTTCGAACAATATGGTCAAATGACAAGAAGACCATAAGTTCGTTTTGCGACCCATCTCCACTCACAGAAGTATCGTCACCAAGGGGCACATGAAGCGAATTTTATCATTTGCATATTTTCGCTGGAAATTTAAAGTTAGGTCATATAGGCCTAGGCTATCTCACCTTTACCTCCAGTAAGAATTATGCCTTTTAGTGATTAAGAGTTAAATTTAAAAGCGTTTTCCAGAACAAGGGCAATAACTCGTACTAAATATTTTTCAATTCTTCTGATTTTCAATAGGGTTCATCTTTGGGTGATAAGGAACATTCACATCAAGTTTCATCAAAATCTGTCAACAATTGTGCCTTCTCGAGTGTTTACGAGCTAAAAATTGAACGTGTTTCCAATAGCAAGAGCAATAGCTCATATAATTATTTTTCGATTTTTCCGATTTTCAATAGGGTTTATCCATGGTTGATAACAAACACTCATGTCAAGTTTTGTCAAAATGTTTACGAGCTAAAAATTGAAAGCGTTTTCAAAAACAAGGGCAATAACTCATAGTAAATATTTTTTGATTTTTCTGATTTTTAATAGGGTTCATCCTTGGGTGATCATGAACACTCATGCAAAGTTTTGTCAAAATCCGTCAAGAATTGTGTCTTGTAGAGTGTTTACGAGCAATTGTGGACGGACGGACGGACAGACATGGGTGACGGCAATATACGCCCCCCACTTCATGTGGGCGTATAAAAAGATTTAAATTGTTTAGGTGTTGTACAACAAAGATATACCTCCCATTTATTTAGAATAGGTGGAGCTTCAGCTTTGGCAAAATCAAATTGTGATCAGGATACAATAAAATCGTATAAAATGTCGGAGGAACCATGACAATGCGCAGAAACTGCTCTACTGACGAAGATTACATTGCATTTTGCCAAAAATTGTATCGCAAATTGTTCCCTGTAAAGGTACCATGAAAAAAAAACAGCACTAAAACAAAACCACAATGAAAATAGTGGAAAGAAAGAACTCAAGCAATACATTTATTAAAGCAAATTGTCAAGTGCTTTACGGTGTGTTTATCACCTGAACGTATCTTAATTACACCCATTAAGATAGTTAAGATTCAGTAGCTTTCAGAAAAATTTGGAAATTCAAAAGAAGACAGAAAATACAAATACCTTGATTATAATATGCAGAAGAGTCAGCAACTTGTTGTTTATTATAAGTATTATCAGGGACTGTACGTTGACGTTGTGAGGAATATCGTTTAGGTCGACCCTGTAAACTATTGTCTGCTTTAATACTACCTCCTGTAGATTGATGAATTTTACCAGCTTTGTTGACAACTTGACCAGATTTCTCTACAATTCAAATAATAACCTTATACATGAGAAAGATATAGAGCTCATATGTAATAAACATAATCCATTGTGATCTTATACTGTAAGATTTGTCCTAATCCAAAAAACAAAATAAAAATCCATACCCATTTCAGCCGAAGAGTTTGATGTAATTGGAGGACTAATGACTGCCATATTTTCTTTCTCAACAGCATTCCTAATCTCTTCCTGTATATATGGTTTACCGCCAACATATTTCATCCTTCTAGTTTCACTTTCATATGCTTTCTCTGTTGTTTTATTGGTGATTGTCACACTGATGGTCTGAACATTCTCTTTATTTGAGATGTTGATATCTGCTCCATCATTAGCTTCAAAATGAGTCTGGTCACCATTTTCAGGAGACTTGTAACTAGAGTTAGTGAACTGCCTTGGCACATTAACAGATCCAGAATTGTTCTCTTCCTGATCATGTCTTCTTTGACCTCGTCCTCGTCCAACACCACGACCTCTCCTTCCACGACCTCTATAGTTGTCATGATAATCACCTTGATCGTTATAATTGTTATACTGGCCTTGATTATTCGGGGCATTTCGGAAATCTTGAGATTTATCATAATTAGATTGATAATTGTCTCCCTTATTCCTATAGTTAGACTGGTAATCATTTCCCCTGTTTTTATGATCAGACTGGTAATTATTATCTTTCTTACGGTAATTTGAAGTATTGTCTCTATTTTCATATTCACCTTGATTATCTCCTTTGTTTCTATAATCAATATAATTATCACTTTTACGATAGGAATTGTCACCCTTGTTTCTGTGGGAAAAAGAGTTGTCTCTCTTATTGGAATAATCAGATTGATAGTTATCTCCTTTGTATCTGTTATCCTGATTATTATCATTATAAGTTCTGTCTCTGTGGCGATTATTATTATATGACTGAGATTTCGAGGGTCTGGAGTCATTTGTGTCAGTCGCCCTGTAAGATTGAGGACTCCTGTATTCCATGGGTATGTACTCAGTCTCCTCTGATTTAGATCTCTGATAATCTCTGTCTGAATTTCCACCAGACCGCTCAGATGGTACAAAATCACCGAGCTTATGGTTTTGCCTTCTTCCTCTGGAAAACAAATCAAAATGTTCAGAGTGGTCAAGAAATCTATGTTACTCATAAGCTTCAAAACTGGTCCAGTTCTCAATGTAAGTGTTCATACCAGGTCTTAAAAAGTTGAATTAAAAACTTTTTTTTTGATTGAAAAGAGATTCAAGTTATGTAAATCATTACCTCCCCGTACCTCCTCTACGAGGCCGGGGTCTATATTCTGGTGGATGACTACCAGCTCTAACATCATAACCATATATATCTACAAGTTCTTCAGTTGATTTCGGACCTTGAAGAGCTTCATTGTAACCATCATGTAACCATTTACCATCATCTTTCCATAACTTCTTTTTAGGTCTATAGAAGAAAGAGAACTGAATAAAACACAAAAGTTCTACTCAAATACAGTTTTCAGAAATAAATAATTTCATTTCCAATGACACAAAGAATCATGAAAGGTAAAATTAGTTCATTAAGTTGTCCACAGTACAAGATGAGCTCTTGTGAAACAGGATAAAAACATTTAAAATAAGTATGTCTCTTGCTTCATTACCTTTCTCCATCTTCTTCTTTTGGTGGCTTCGCATCACCTAATCGTAAATCATGCTCATAAAAAGCACCCTTTCTGGGTACAAAAGCTGGGTTTTTTCTGTCTTCATCATCATCAACATCTCGAGAATCTGGTTGTTCCTAAACATAAAATTTTTACGTTTTTATTTAGAAATGATGTTGATCATTTCCTTTGTTAGATGAGACATTCATCATTATTTACTTGCAGCTTATGCCAATTTTTCATCTGAAACTGTCATCTCACATCAGCTAGGTATAGAATTCAAGTAATTCGGAATATAAGTTCTGTCTCCCTATGACCAATAACATTATTTATAAACATTGTGCATTGCAGTTTTGATGTTAATAGAGTCATCCTCGTATTATCAATAACCTGAAGCATAAACTTTTCAAAGCAGTTTATTTAAAAAAAAAAAAAAAAAAAGAATTCAATATCCTAAAACTAAAATATATAAAATTCATATTGGACATTGAATAATCAGTGTTATTTGATATGAAACAGAATAAATTAGAAGCAGAAAGCTAACCTCGCCATCTCCACTTTGTCTTTCTTCATCAACCCACTCATCATCTTCAATAACAACATCTATTTCTTGGCCATCATCATCATCATCATCTTCTTCTTCAGATTCAGTTTCAGTCTCTGTTTCTTCTTCACTTTCTGTTTCCTCTTCCTACAACAAACATAACAAACTATGTAGTTTCTCTAGAATATTAACATTTGACCTCTATATTTCTTATCTTACTTTGTTGGTTCCTATACCACAGCTGCCTACAAATATGCTTTATTTCTGAAATTTTATCACAATGCAGCGACTGCATATAAATTTGTAATACAAATTCAATACATAAGATAGCCTTGCTAGGGTCGGTGACACGCGCTCATCAGCAGCTTTGATTGCAAGTACAAATCATTGTTTGTAGTCTGTACAGTGAGCATGAGCCAATTGTGAACAGATGGACAAATGACAATATGCTTCCATACTACGTGTGGGCATATACAATTCAAAAGAATCCACAAAGAATTGTTGTCAACGGACCGATTGACAATTTATCAGATCATCACGAAAATTGATAGGGATCAACTTCATAATGACATTGACCTACAAAATAAAACAGGAACCTGTAAAGGATTGTAGCCTCTAGAGTGAGCATGAGACAAATGTGAACGGATCCACTGACCGCCACGGTGATTACAACCAAAACATATCTAAAAACTTTCACGGTAATTCCATCTCAGTGACAAAATGAAGTCAAAATTTAGTCTCACCTTGCCTTGTTTTTCTTCATCTGCACTTTCATACTCTGATAATTCAGCTGAAAATACATGCATACAAATTATAAACTGATAGTAATTTGTAAACCTATCAGGCTGTGTATCTGTAATCAAATATGTTATTAACATCACTACTGTCAGTCCAGCCAATGTGAACAGTGAGCTCTTGACTGCAATTTCAGTTGGATGTTTTTTATCCTAGAGGGCAATCGCAAGTCCTCAAAATATATAATTTCACACTAGAAATTATCGTCAGAAAATAATTTTAATCATAAGGCACAATTTCCATCAACCAAATGACAACCTAAATGAACCCTACCAGTTTGGGGTTCAAATAAGCTCATGAGTATTTCAATGCTATAGTAATAGTTCACAAACTGTGATTTTATAACCTTATTGAAGAAGCCCATTATCTTAAAAACAAGTGTTATAAAGAGTCAAAATCAAGTCAATCAATATTAGTTTATATTGAATTCTGAATACAAACAAAGATCTCACCCTGTTCTTCATCTCCATGTTCACTTTCCTGCAAAACAAAAATAAACTATTAGTTATATACCATACTGTATTCACTAAACTTCCAGAAATTAACTATAAAAATAATCTCCATTTTAGACTGAAAATAGTTCACAATTAGAACAAATATTAAAAAAGTAACACTAATATCAGGTTAGTCCCAAATTTTGACTAAAAATTTACCTCTGTAACATTCTATTAAGACTAACGGCATTATTAAAAAATTTTTTGAGCAAAATTAAAAAAGGCACTCTTTCGACCATTGAAAAGAAAAATAACCCGCATCCCTCGCCTAAAGGTTTCAGTTCTGTACCATGTGGAGGTTCTAGGTGTCCCTGCGAATACATGCACGTTAGGGCTGCAATGATTCTTGAAGTTGTGATTCGATACTCATCCAACAATATTATTTATTGCAATAATTATCGCGATTCATTTATTATGAGTAGGAAAGAGAAAAAATAGTAGAAATTTATAAAATTACTTACAAGTTTGTCACTATTAAGCACTTGAGAACATTTAGAAGTAAGGAATTGTGAAAGAATTCTAAATTTTTACAGTCATAAATAAATTTTTGCAAATATTGATGTGAAAGTCATACATGGAAAATGAAAACATGACACTATTTCTTATACACATAAGGTTTCTGTGCCATTTCTTATTAAAGGGGGCTAAGAATTAATCATTGTGCCAATACATCACGATTATTTTTATCCAACGCATTGTATCGACAAGAAGGACAGAATCCCAATTCAATGATGAATCGTTGCAGCCCTAATGCACGTTTCTCATTATTTGGAAAATGAGAAAAACGGTACTGATACATTTTCAGTATATCAAAGGCGCTCGACAATCTGTGTCAAATCGTACCAAAAATTTAATTTGTACAAGATACTGTTGATTTAATCAAACACGCAAACTTAAGTTTGATGCATTTTTATAAGTCAAGGGCAATATCTCAACTTTTCATTCATTGAAAAATCATTAAATTCAAACTTGACCAAGATCTCATTGTCATAGATGATCACACTAGATTTCATTAAAATCAGATGAAAACTGTTGTCAATATAGTGTTCACAAACAAATTTTTACTGTTTTTACTAAGTCAAAGGCAAAAACTCAAAAACTGTTCATTGAAAAATCTTCAAATTCGAACTTCCAAGATCTGATGAATATAAATGATCACACCAAATTTCATTAAAATCGGGTAAAAACTGTAGCCTCTATTGTGTTCACAAGCCAATTGTGGACGGACGGACTGACTTCTGTTGAAGAGTGACTTGTTGTCTTTCGTCCACCTAATCTCTAATTTGTGATGAATTAAACTAATTTCATGAAAAGATTCAATTTTGTTGCAAAGCGGTATTAGATTATATTGAAAGTATATAAGATAAATAACTATTAATACACCTGTATTTCCTATGACGTTTTTTTCACCTCAAATCATGGCATGCCTTGGCTTTGCAAGAATATTGCAATTTCAACACAATTCAGCAACGTTGAACAAGTCAAATTTGAATAAAATGTTATATCTATCTAAGAATAACAATGAAATTTATTCTATGGCTTCCTGATATTATGTTAATCCATCACAATAATTGATAAAGATTAACAGGTTTTAATTAGTACACAATACTAATGACTAATTTTCACATAATTAATAGACTTATCTATTGCTCTGTGATTTAGGCCAGTGCTTTCATTGAGTCTTATCTTATCTTGAGTCACAGCCTAACACAATACCAGTACTATTTTGAGGCTTCCATTTGAATTCTCATAAAAATAAAAGAAACAAATCCAAAAACTTTTTACTTTGCTCAGACTAGCCAGAATCTCAATTTTGCTTCCCTTTGATAATGATATTAGATTTATTTATTCATTATTTCATTATTTGCTTGATAATGGTCATTGAAGCGTCACAGTCAATAAATGTAGTAAAATTGTATGTCCATAAAGTTTGTTTTCCTTATATTGATCAATTACTAAATGCCTTGGAAAGATATTAGATATTAGATTTGTTTAGTTAAGTTTTAGGCTTAGGTTAGTTGATTAGTTTAAATTTCCATCAAACAGAAAAAGAAGTCTAGTAAGATCTAATATAATTAAGACAGTATCAGTAGACCTAATAATGGGCATCACTGTGACACCTTTAATGATGAGATGGGAATGCCAATAATGCAATTCTTTGAGTGATGTGGTGAAAATTAGATCTAACAGAAATGGTAATAAAAAAAAAATAGAAGACGAAGCGAAGGAAGATGATGAGACTGAACTCTCAATCTCATTCATCTTTCCAAATCCATTTGTTATGTTCAGATGCAAATAGACTTTATAGGTTATAATCTTTCTGAAAACCAAACACATGGGCAAAACATCAAAAAGGAAATCTTACACATTCGGATTTTCTAACAACAGGGTTTGAATCATTATTCTCATTTTCAAGCGAACCTCGCCGTCTTCGTCGGTCCGCCATTTTGGGAAATAGTTCCACGTGACTTTATACGTCATTATAGAATTTCCTCAGACGGTGTAAGGTGTATTTTCATACCACTGTCTTCAGACCCAAAGATTTTCAATTATTCCAAAGCTTATAATTAGATAATTAGAAATGAATTAAAATTCAATGATCCATGTAGCAGCTTTTTTTTAGTTTTAGTTTAGAAGGGTCTAAAAAAGACTAGATCTAGCCTAATGTCTTACAGGCACAACTTGGAAGAACTTGATATCAAATACATTAATATACATACCCCGCTTTATGGAACTCTAATGAACTACTACTCACCAATTTCATCAAATCACAAGAAAAAAAATTAATTACAAGTTGCATATGCGCAATAAATTTTTCTTACTTATATATAGCAGTCTTGGTGGTCAAGAAGCCGCAGTGCTTACCAACTGATCAAAGACTAGGTAGAACAACTTGGAATTTATCCCCTCCCCTCCATTGTTTTGAGGTGAATTTGAAGCATATTGTAGGAGACTCTTTTCTGCCAGTGTTTCTTTGTTTGTTTTGTTTAGTGTGGAGAGCGACGCATAATAACTGACAATGATCTTTTATACCTTGTACTGTATCGGCAACAGTCAGAGAAGTAGCCGTAATTCAATTCATCCCGAACGGTTATTTTAAATTTTGATGATACAGACACCATGCCATACCCACCCGAAAACGTTATCGGGTTTCAAATTTTCCATGTCTTTAATTTTGTTGATTCATATACATGTATTTGATTTTTTTTTCTGATTTTTTATGTCGTCTTGTTAATTTTCTTGGAAAGGGACCCGGAAATATACATCAGTTATAATCAGTCAGGATATCCTATTAAATTTAGTGTCTGAGTGATCAAGAATTCTGATGACTCATTGGCGAATACTAGGTCAAATTTACATAGGAGTTTTACGAGTCTTCACCGATTTAATGTAGCTGACACCCACAACAGGAATGGGTGACTGTTAGTTTTGGGTGAAAACTTTTCCAGCAAAAATAGCATGTGAAGTGCTTCTTGTAGCTACGAGCGTCACTGCAACCGAACAACCAAGATGCCAGGCCCAAAAGGGCCAAGGCTTCCGAAGCTTGGCATTTCTACTGAGCCTCCAGCGAGCCCTCAACCACCAAGGCCTGATATGGATTCAAGGGCAACACTGACGATTGGCGAACAAACTTTCGTGTGTGATGCTACTGACTTGCAACGAATAAGGCTCTTGGGCCGCGGCGCCTACGGTGTGGTTGAAGAAATGAAACACGCTCAAAGTGGTATCGTGATTGCTGTAAAAAGGATACAGGCCACAGTAAATAATCAAGAACAAAAACGTTTACTCATGGACTTGGACATAAATATGAGGAGTGGTTCATGCCCTTACACGGTACATTTTTATGGAGCCTTGTTTAGAGAAGGAGATGTTTGGATTTGCATGGAAGTTATGGAGACTTCTTTAGATAAACTTTATAAAGCAATCATCAAAGATGGGGATAAGATTCCAGAAACTGTTCTAAGAAATATTGCCCTGTCAGTTGTCAAGGCTTTGCATTACCTTCACTCAGAGTTACAAGTTATTCATCGTGATGTTAAGCCTTCAAATATTCTTATTAATCGAAAGGGTGAAGTGAAGATCTGTGATTTCGGAATCAGTGGCTATTTAGTGGACTCTATTGCCCGTACAAAGGATGCAGGCTGTCGACCTTACATGGGTCCTGAACGTATTAATCCTGAGAATCCATCAGAAGGCTATGACATTAGGTCTGATGTTTGGAGTTTAGGAATTACAATGATAGAATTGGCAACTGGTGTCTTCCCTTATTCAACATGGAAAACTCCCTTTGAGCAAATCAGACAAGTGGTTGTCGATGATCCACCAAGATTACCCGCTGATAAATTTTCTAAGGAATTTGAAGATTTTGTTATTCAATGTTTACAAAAGAATTATAATAATAGGCCTAATTATCCTCAATTATTAGAGCATCCATTTTTAACTAAGGTGGATAATCCTCCTGTAGATATGGCTGCGTTTGTAAATAATGTTTTGTCCAAACATGGAGACTTAAATGACAACTCCTGACTTTAAAGTATTTAGCTTGGGATAGATGGACTTTTGTAATGTTAGTGTAAAAGAAAAAGGGTGGAGAATTAAGAGAGCATGTCCTGAGATATTTCAATAACCTAGTTTTCAAGTTAATGATCTCTAATTCCTCGTTTATGGGCACTCTCTAATATAATAAGTTAGAGTGCTATAATACCAGTAAATAACTGAGGTCAGTAATAAGAATTTTGACTATAAATAAGGCTTATCTTGAACTATGATTTCTGTAAATCAGAATCACAACTGAATATCAATCACTATAGTTTTAAAATATTTTTTAAAGAGTCCAACTATCCCCTTTATTTAGTAAAATTAATTGATAATTAAGAATCATTATAATTATTTGTTAAAGTAGATTTCATTGGCATATGTTTTTCATTCCAATTGAAATTTTCTTCCTATCACAAACAAGTTTAGCTAATTCATCCTTAGGATGTGTATTTATTGAATATTTGTGGCTGTTGGTTTGCTTTTTGTAAGGTTGAATAATTTAAACTGTAATGAAGATAGACAATTTTTTGTTCTTCATTAATACATGGACTGCAATTTTATACATAAATATTTAAAACTCAAGAGATAGTTGACATATTCAAGCTCAAGTCATACTGCAAAACCAAATCAACAGCCCTGTAGATATCATTTCTAGCACAATTCTTGATGCAGGCAGCCATACCATTGTTATAGTGTCATTGTTAGAAGTTTGTTCGTTTCAGTTCTGAAGGGTCAGGAATATTACTGTCACTAAACTTTATTGTTTTATCTAAATCTATTGAACAATTTGAATCCAATCCAGTGGTTATTTTGTCTTTTGTAACACCTAATGCTTGTGCCTATAATACCTGTCTATAATACAAACTACAACATTCTGAAAGTGGTAGTAAAATTCATTGAAATAGACTTATATTGAATTACCATATGCTAATTGTATCTTTAAGGTTAATTTTTAAATCTTATTTTTTGAAACAAGCCATTGTGTATTTGTTACCAGTATCTAAATTGTTTTCTCTTATCTGCTTGATGAATTTTTTCAAAGAAATCATGAATGTATAAATTTAAGAAATGTTATAGCATAATGATATTTTGGTATTCAAGAGTTTTAGGCAGTGTTTTTCCAGAAAACTGTCACAATGACTTTGGGATGCTGTTCTTCCTTCTGTTATTATTTTGTTATGGTATTATGGAGTAAGCTTACATTTTGATTACTATAATTTATTACTATATTTTTTGTATAAATTTCTATATATTATGTCTTTACAATGTCATTTGGAAATATTGACTTTCAGAGTTATGATCAAGACTGATAGAGGCTACTAGATAATCAACAACTGCTATCAACTGGTTGTATGTACTAGAATCTGATCAATTTCTGGAATTAGCGAACCTGTTAAACCTACATCTGTTGCTTACGAGTTGTTCATTTCCACTTTCTAGCAAATGTTGGCTCATTTTGTCAATTGAAACATTTTAGTTGATCACAGTTGCTTTGACTTAGTCAGATATTCTATCTGGGCGCATTTCTCGGGCTATCTGTACTGGCGCAGATTCAATGATTCAAATGGTGTTTTATTATTATTTTTAGATGTACCAAAATTTGTCTACTTTCATTGCAGATTTTCAATTTAATTCATACAGTATAAGTTTATGGTTGTTAAATTTAAAAATTTGATTACAAAAATTGCTTGTATGATTTATAAGATTTTTTAAAAAATGAAATGAAAAATTTGATTTTGACTTTGTACATAATTGGATATAATTATATCATTAGTTGAGAAGTATATTTATATATATAGATTTATAATGAAACTTGTGTAGTACATGTATGATTAGTTAATTACTTTAGAGTTGCTTTGTACAACACATTGGGTAAGGATTGTGTTGAATTTATGTTACTCAGTATAAACACCAATAAGAAAATATTTTAAGGCAATTCTGTAAGTACTTGTTATTTCTATAGGTTTCTTTAAAGTTTAAAAAAATGCCAAAGTATGGCAGGGACAATGCTTTTAATTTTGGAACTGACTTTTCTCTCAAGATACCTCATAATAGATGTTTGTGTTAACTTAAACCTCTCCCAATAAGCTTAGTTGATAAGAGACTGCAGGGAAGTCCATTAAGGTTTCATATGTTTTTCTATTAGGATTCTGCTTTTTAAATTTAAAATGTTACAGTTGTTAACAATTATACCTCTTATTGCATGTAGATAGCCAATATTTTTTATGTATTCTATTTGGCTCTTAAAGGTTCTCGTTCCTGAATTCATAATCTTCAGGTTTATTTAAAGTAAATGTTCTGACTGATACAGTTATTGTATTTGTATTTTTAGTCAAATCTGGTATAATTGTTTGGTCCACATAAATATTGTGATAACCGTTGGCACTACATTATCATAGACATAACTTGTCTGTTTTTTTGTCATATCTTATGTTTCCATATTAACGACTTGAAGTACCTTTCAATTTTTGGAAAAGTCTGAGCTAAGCTTTCCAGTGCTGTAATGAAAATAATGTCGAGTTTCAAATGCAATCATGGAAACAAAGACTCGCATGAAAAAAATCCAATGGCTTATATAACTTTAATCTGCTTTGAGTGTTAAGACCTTTTACCTATGTTATTTAAAATGTTATAATAATGAATTTTCTGTTATGGAATTGTATATTGTATATAAGCACATGGAAAAAATGAATTTTATAACAAAATAATTGTCTGTTTAATTTGTTACCTACTAGTCTTTAACACCACAGCTTTGTTCACAGACCTGTCCAAGCAACAGAATTTAATGCGAGTGGTTATAGGTACTATATTAGTATTTTCTAACTAAGGAATATGTTAAAAAAAAAAAGCTGCAAAGACTGGCATTGGAATAAGTGGTGAGATATTCTCAAACTACTTTTCTTCAATCTTCACCATTAGTTCACTCTCTTTGTGATAGACAAATTTCCAGGGATGTTTAACATGCAACCTGTATAACATTTGATTGAAGAGATATTTTTGAATGTAATTCCCTGTAACCTGCTTCACTGACAGGCAAAAAGTTGAGTAAAAAATCTGAAGGTATCCTTCAACTGGGATAGGACCAAGGGTCTTGTGTTGTACTCAAATGGCTGATGGTTACTTTCATGCTATGAAAATCTGCTTGTGCACGAGTATGTGGACGAATAGAGCATAAAAAAATCTCGACAAAATGAATGAAGAAATAGGCCATTTTGCATAAGATATATCTTCGTCAGTAGGTAATTAAGTATGTAAAATCATTATAGGGGGCGAATCGTCTTAAAGTACGATTTGACACGAATAGTCTTGATCAACTTGTTGTGAAATGTATTAACGCACTGGACGATCAATGCTATACATAATCCTGAATTGTTTTCATCGGCAAGAATTAGAAGTGCAAATATTTCTAAATTTGCCTAAAGTTTGTATGAATCACGATTCTTAAGATAGGTTGTCGTCAACTCAAAATTTTTATAATAATCCGCATATTGCTTTACAAAAGATTAATTATTGACAGTAGTTCATGCAAAAGTTCAGAGAGTGGCGTGTATTCTAGTAGAAACACTTCGACCTTTACTTTTAGTCAACTCGCCCAATATACTCATGAAAAATATTACAGAATAATATTCCACAAGTTGACTGCTTGTTTGTCATTCACATGTTTTTATTACTGATATTAATGTAGGATTTTATTATCACAGGTGTATTTTTCTAATGAATAGGGTCTAGATTTAGTAGGGTCCAACCCACACCACATGTACCTACTGTTTTTATACGCCCACATTATAATGTGAAAAGTTTTCATCTGATTTGAATGAAATTTGGTGTGATCATTAATATCATGAGATCTTGGACAAGTTCGAATGTGACGATCTCTCGATGAACGGTTTTTGAGTTACTGCCCTTGACTTTTGAAAAACGCGTCAAAATTTGTTGTGAACACAATAGAAACTACAGTTTTCATCCAATTTCAATGAAATTTGGTATGAATATGTATAGTGATGAGATCTTGGACAAGTTCGAATTTGGCTATCTTTCGATGAATGGTTTTTGAGTTATTGCCCTTGATTTATGAAAACGCGTCAAAATTTGATTGTGAACACAATAGAGACTACAGTTTTCATCTGATTTAGATGAAATTTGGCATGATCATTTTTAATGATGAGATCTTAGTCAAGACTAAATTTAAAAAATTTTTGGATCAACGGAATTTGAGTTATTGCCCATGACTAAGTAAAAACGCATAAAAATTTCGTAGCGATAGAGTTGACATTTTATGTCAGAATTTTATTAAATAATGTGTGTTTGTTTAAATCAACAATATCTTGCACAAATTAAATGTTTGGTATGATTTGACACAGATAGGTGACTGCCCTTGATATACTGAAAATTGATCAGGAAAGTGGGCGTATCTTGCTAGGCAACCACTTGTTTTATTTCTTTGTACAGATATGATATATTATAAAGTTCTTATCGAGCCTGCTGCAGACAGGAGGAACTAGCTGAACTGCCTGCCTCCAAGGGCTATCGTCTCATTGGTCACCAGGAAATTTTGTCCAATTCTTTTATATTTCATGAAAAGACCTGAATGACATTTGCTGATGTAATTGTTGCATCATGCTTGTATTTCGCAGAATTAACAGCAAATAGACATGAATATTCTTGCCATTGCCCATTGATTTTACGCTCTTTATGCCACAAATACCGAACACCTTACTTTGATGGATAAGCCAATATTGCTCAAGTATTGTAACTTTTCTGTGTTGGCTCAGTGAGTTAGATGCTTGCTCATCAACCTGAAGGTCCAGGGTTCAATCTGGGCATATGTAGAGACAATACCTTCGGATCTTTCAACCCGGCTTCCCCCTGTCAGTGATGCAGGTAAGAGGAGCTGACTTGAAAAAGTGTTTAGTTGTTCAGGTCAATAGACCAGTGACCTGTGTGCTATGGACCGTGCACGTTAAAGATCCCTCGACAGTTTTAAATAAAAAAGAGCAGACTCATGCCGCAAAAAAGTTGGACATAAAACTCATTTCATTTCATTTGCCATTGTTCAATAAATTGATCTTGCAACTGACTTCTGGAGGCAGTCACTTTTAAAAGCTAGTTCCTCTAGTCTGTGGCTGTGAGCCGCGGTGGTTCAGTGAGTTAGACGCTTGCTCGCTAACCTGAAGGTTCAGGGTTCAATCCAGGCATAGGTCGAGATAATACCTTCAGATTTTTCAACCCGGTTTCCCCCTGTCAGTGATACAGGTAAGAGGAGCTGACATGGAAAAAGCTTCGGATGGGACAATAAACCGAGGCCCTGTGTGCCGCAGACTGTGCACATTACAGATCCCTCGACAGTTGGAAATCAGAAAAGAGCAGGCAAATGCCGCTGTCCTGGCAAAATTTCCCTCATTGCACCCTGCATGGCGTTGCCCCGTCTTCATTAGCCCACCTGGTGCAGAAAAGTAAGACGTAAAACTCCATTCATTTCATTTCTAGTCTGTGGCTGGCTTTACTCTGCAAAGAAATTGAAACAAGTGCTTGTAATCCTACCAATGAAGTGAAAACCTTTATTTTATTTTTTATGTTCTTCACATGCAAAATGTGTATGCCTTATTTGTCTAAATTTTCTAGATACCACTGGTAAATAAAGAAATATGTTGTTGTTTAAATCATGTCTGACGGGCACAATACGGGGATTTTGTACGAAAGTTGACAAACCCATTTTGAGTAAACTACGGAAAAAGACAGGCTTCCCTATTATCAACTGTAAAAATGCCTTGATTAAATTTGACAATGACTTTGAAAAGGTAAGAATAAATTGTCACATAGAACATGTACTTTGCATTATCTTTACTTTTGATATAATTCTAATTTCTTTGGAAAAAGACAAACATTTCTATTTTTAGTATTTTTGAATTCCAAAGGAGAGGTGAGACAATTATAGATATTCACATAATACCACAAGATGAGCTTATAAGCTTACTGCAGTAGATTTCTGTGATATTTCAGCCATGTTCAGACTGTCTTTTCGAAACAATCTTGGCACTAGGAGGACCTAGGGTTTTAACTGTAAACACTGTTTCTAGGATATCCAAGTGTCGTCTCCCATGTCCATCCTATGTCGCGTCAAAATTGGCTTGTGAACTCGATAGAGACTACAGTTTTCATCTGATTTGAATGAAATTTGGTGTGATCATTTATATTGATGAGATCTTGGACAAGTTCGAATTTGGCTATCTTTCAATGAACGGTTTTTGAGTTATTGCCCTTGACTTACGAAAAACACGTCAAAATTTGTTTGTGAACACCATGGAGACTACAGTTTTCATCCAATTTCAATGAAATTTGGTGTGAATATTTATAATGATGAGATCTTGGACAAGTTCGAATTTGGCTATCTTTCAATGAACGGTTTTTGAGTTATTGCCCTTGATTTATGAAAAACGCGTCAAAATTTGTTTGTGACCACAATAGATACTACAGTTTTCATCCGATTTAAATGAAATTTGGTATGATCATTTATAATGATGAGATCTTAGTCAAGATTAAATTTGACAATTTTTCGATCAATGGAATTTGAGCTTTTGCCCATGACTTTGTAAAATGCATCCAAATTTCTTAGCGATAGAGGTGACAGTTTATGTCAGAATTTTATTAAATAATGTGTGTTTGTTTAAATCAACAATATCTTGCACAAATTAGATTTTTGGTATGATTTGACACAGATAGGTGACTGCCCTTGATATACTGAAAATGTATCAGGAAAGTGGGCATATCTTGCTAGGTAACCACTTGTCCTGAATACATGGTTAGATTTTTATTGAAGTTTCACTGCAGGAGAGACATAATTTCTTCTGAGGTTGAACCTATTTCAGTAGAGATAATAATTTCTTATGAGGTTGTTTTGCAAGAGAGACAAGATATCTACTGAGGTTCTACTGTAGGAAAGACATGAATTCTTCTTCATTTGTACTACAGGAGAGACATAGATCAGGATAGACTGCAGGAGAGATGTGAATTCTATTGAGGTTGCACTGCAGTAGAGACACGAATTATTTCAAGGTTCAACTGTAGGAAAGACATGATTTCTACTGAGGTTGTACAACAGGAAAGACATGATTTCACATAAGGCTGCACTGCAAGAGAGACATGATTTCACACAAGGTTGCACTGCAGGAGAGACATGATTTCACATCAGGTTGCACTGGAAGAAAGGCATGATTACACATGAGGCTTCACTGCAGGAGAGACATGATTTCACATGAGGTTGCACTGCAAGAATGACATGATTTCACATGAAGTTGCACTGCAGGAGAGACATGATTTCATATGAGGTTGCACTGCAAGAAAGACATGATTTCACTTGAGGTTGCACTGCAAGAAAGACATGATTTCACATGAGGCTGCACTGCAGGAGAGACATGATTTCACATGAGGTTGCACTGCAAGAATGACATGATTTCACATGAGGCTGCACTGCAGGAGAGACATGATTTCACATGAGGTTGCACTGCAAGAATGACATGATTTCACATGAGGCTGCACTGCAGGAGAGACATTATTTATTCTGGGGTTCTACTGTAGGAGAGACATGATTTTTACTAAAGGTTGCACTGAGTATTACATATTTTACAAGTTTTCTACATACATGTATACTATTTGTGATTGTTTGCTTTAGGCAGAACAATGGTTACAAGAACAAGCACAGAAAGAAGGTTGGGATAAGGCAACCAAATTACAATCCAGACCAATGTCACAAGGTTTGATTGGATTAGTTGGAGATCAGAAATCAGCTACCATGATAGAAGTAAGATATTTCTATTGAATAGAGTTCAATGCATGAATTGTAAAGCGATGTTGGAATATTAAAAACTATATTCACATAATCTAATAAAAGAAGAATTTTTCTACAATATGTTGTAATGAGCACTATTTTAAAAGTGAAAATATTTTAATATTGTAAAAATATCTTTATATAAACTAACAAAATGACATCACAATGTTTCCAATAACATGACACATAGATACCTTTATGATGTGACTTTTTCAGGTCAATTGTGAAACTGATTTTGTTGGCAAAAATATGAAGTTTGTAGAATTGGTAACAAATTTATTAAAAAACTGTAGCAACCATTGTAATAATATAACAGCAAATACTGTAAGTTATACTCGATTGTTTTTCCATTCTACCTAAATAAAATTGAAATCCTTAAAGGGATTGTAAAGTGGTTTTCTAAACTTTTTATATGTATCAGGGGACACTGGTAGCATCAATTTGCACCATTTTAATTTTCATTCAGACGTCTGTGGTTCTTACATTTCCACTCAAACTAAGGTGTTTTATGATGTTACTAGAGCGGAAATGCATAGATATCAATAGTGGCTTCCGGTAGCTCCCCTCTAGTGACGTCATAAATTGTGTTTTGTGGTATAGCAAGAACCACAGACATCAGAACGAAAATTGAAATGGAGCAAATTGATGCTATGAGTGTCCCCGATACCCATAATAAGTTTAGAAAACCTCTTTACAATCCTTTAATGTTAGCCAAGTGGGAGTGAAAATTTATCAGTGGACTTACCTGGTGTATAACTGAAAATAATTCCCTGTATATACAAACTTAAATTTTTTTGGTCTTTCAATACCTACATGTACCGTTAGTTTTATCAATTAACTTATATTTTTATCAATATTTGCTTATTGTTTTATAAATTATTACTCGTAGTTTTATCAGTAATTGCTTGTAGTTTATCAGTTTTTACTTGTACTTTTACTTGTAGTTTTATCAGTAATTACTTGTAGTTTATCAGTTTTTACTTTTACTTGTAGTTTTATCAGTAATTACTTGTAGTTTGTCAGTAATTACTTGTAGTTTTGTCAGTAATTACTTGTAGTTTTATCAGTAATTACTTGTAGTTTTATCAGTAATTAATTGTAGTTTATCAATTTTTACTTGTACTTTTACTTGTAGTTTGTCAGTAATTACTTGTAGTTTTATCTGTAATTACTTAGTTTAATGAATTAGTTGATTCCATGTTTGGAAGGCATCAAAGGAACTTTTCCTAGCTTCCTGGACTTGAATTTATTTGAACAATAATCATGTCCATTAGCAGCAGTTGATCTGAAAGCAAACAAAAACATCACTTTTACAATTGAAATACTTTTTTCATACATAATCAGTATCATTTTTATATGCCCACATAAAATGGGGGGCATATATCGCTGTCACCAATGCCCGTCGGTCCGTTCACAATTGCTCTTAGACACTCTACAAAATGCAATTCTTGATGGATTATGATGAAACTTGGTATGAGTGTTTGTATTCACCCAAGGATGAACCCTATTGAAAATCAGAAGAATCCAAAATTATTAAGTATGAGTTAGTGCCCTTGTTCTTGAAAACACTTTCAGGGAGCTGTGCTGGCTCAGTGAGTTAGACGCTTGCTTGCAAACCTGAAGGTCCAGGGTTCTATCTCGGCATAGGTCGAGATAATACCTTCAGATTTTTCAACCCGGTTTCCCCCTGTCAGTGAAGCAGGTGAGAGGGGCTGACATGGAAAAACTTGGTGTGAGTGTTCGTAATCACCCAAGGTTGAACCTTATTCAAAATCAGAAGAATTGAAAAATATTTAGTATGAGTTATTGCCCTTGTTCTTGAAAACTCGTTCAATTTTTAGCTTGTATACACTCTAGAAAGCACAATTTTTGACAGATTTTGATGAAAATTGTCATGAGTGTTTGTTATCACTCAAGAATAAACCCTATTGAATATCAGAAAAATATTTAGTACGAGTCATTGCCCTTGTTTTTGAAAACGCGTTCAATTTTTAGCTCTTAACTACTCTATCTAGAAGGCACAGTTCTTGACCAATTTTGACGAAACTTGGTGTGAGTGTGCGTTATCACCCAAGTGTGAACACTATCGAAAATCAGAAACATCAAAAAATATTTAGTAGGAGTTACTGCCCCCATTCTCGTAAACACTATGGAAGGCACAATTCGTGATGAATTTTGACGACACTTGGTGGGAGTTTTCGTTATCACCCAAGGATGAACCCCATCGAAAATCAGAAAAATTGAAAAATATTTAGTATCAGTTATTGCCCATGTTCTTGAGAACGTGTTAAATTTTTAGCCAGTAAACATTCTGCAAGGCTCAATTTTTGACAGATTTTGACGAAACTTGAAGAAATTGTTTATCATCACCATGGATGAATCCTATCGAAAATCAAAAAAATCAAAATATGTTATTGACCTCGTTCTTGAAAACTCTTTCTTGGTTTTATTATTCAGTACCGTGCTGGAGATTGAATATTTCCTTTTAGAGTTTTCACGAGCTAAAAGTTTGAACACGTTTTCAAGAACAAGGGCAATAACACATACTCAATATTATTCAGTATCGCCCTAAAGAGTTTAAAAAGAAGTGTATGTCTGAAGGTTGAATATATCATACTGGTAATTGTTACTGTACTGCCAAATATCTTTATTCAAAATTGACATTATATTACCTTGCCTGGCAAGCTATCTTCATTAAAAGTATACATAGTTTGGAAGAATTAAAATTATTGAGGGATTTTAAAAGACCTGTTATCAATCTGAACAGTGGAAGTACAAGAATGAATATTGTCCTGATACAGGATTTAATATCTGAAACACTTAGGTGTAAGGTGAGGTCTTGTCTGATATTTTAGTTAGAACTAGACAAAGAAGAGGTGAACTTGATAGTAACACCAGAAGGTAAAACTGTACAAGATATGGTAGCATACAATGTTGGTAATATTGGTGAAAACATGGCAATAAGAAGGGCTGTCCACGTAGTAGCTTCACCCCAATCACAACTCTATACTTATGTTCATGTATCAGGTAAAATATTTGTATTAAATGGGAAGGTTAATTTTTGCCAATCCAGTTTGAGTCACCAGGAAATATTTAAAACAAGAAAATTTACAGAATATGTAGATTTTTTATAAACTATGATAAATAAGAAAGTTTATAAAGCATAAATTTGCATTCACAGACATGAGCTTCTGAGGACAAATCAATGGATTTTGGTTCCCATGAAATCATTGATTGCATAGTACGAGACAAAGGACTGATGAACAATTGAAGTAAATTCTATTTTCTGTTATTAGGATGAAAATTAGTTTTAGTCTAATGGTCTTACAATTTAGCCAAGACATGCTAAAGAGAAATATGATGTAGCCCTCTCTAAAAGCTATCTAATTGAAAAACTTTTTTGGCTCTAGGAAAATATTAATATCCATGGATGGTCATTGTTTATCAATTGTCACCCTGGTGTATAACTAAAATGTTTTGTGGATTTACAGGAACTGGTATAAAACTTCCAGAAGGCTTTGAAAATTATCAAATAGGAAAATATGGAACAATCGTTGAAATACAACAAAGTGCTGATGGAAATAATAATTTTGTGGAAGATTCAGAAATCAAAAATGGAATTTGTCAGCATATTGTGGGGATGAATCCTAAGATTATTGGTGAACTTGATGATGAGACTCCTCCACAGGGAGACAATGAAGACAGACTGTTATTCCAGGAGTATTTGTTAGATTCCTCAGTGTTAGTTAAAGATGTAGTTAAAGATAATGATTTAGAATTAGTAGACTTTGTCAGGTTTGAATGTGGTGAAGTTTTACCTGGTGATGAAGAATAGTTTATCTTTCGTATAGAATAAATGAATGTTTTAAAAACATTGTTGTTTGTAAATATAGAGTAGGTTACAATGGTAACCTAATGAATGCTATAGTAACCAAAAGAATACTATAGTAACCTTATGATTATTATAGTAACCAAATGAATACTATAGTAACCAAAAGAATACAATAGTAGCCTAATGAATACTTTAGTAACCTTATGAATATGAGAGTAACAAAATAAATACTATTGTAGTAACCAAATGGATAATTGTGGGACTTTGCTACCGCAAAGTCCCAGTTTGTTATCGAAATGTCCATTCTTTTTTTTTTTTTTTTTTTTTTTTTTAAACTGCAGTAGTTGCAGCAACCATTCAACTTCTCTAGACCTTCTGTAGTGGCAACGTGTTCCTTAAATATATATTGGAACATTTTTGCAAAACCGGAATTGCCACAGTTCAACATGTGCAAAAAGTCGAAAATCGGCTCTAGAAGACGTATTTTTGCATCGATTTTCTTCGGGTTTTCATTTTTATAATCTACCTGTAATTTCTGACCTGATAGCACTTGAAAAATTACGAAATTCGAAAATTCGTCGCTCACTTTTTTCGATCAAATTTTTCGATTTTTTTGCAACTTTTTTGCTTTTGCATCGATTGATCTGAAATTTTAAGTGCAAAGAGACTTCACTAATGTTAATAATATGATACAGTCAAATTTTGTACTTCATTTCCGATTTTAAACAGGAAAGCGACTGAAGTTCAAATCTACTTCCGGTTGAATAACTTCCGGTGTAATTTATGTAGGTCAACAAAATTTGGCTGATCTTTGGCAAATAAAATTTTATGGCCGATTTTAAAATAAAATCCAGACCGGAAGCGTTACTTTGGCCGCCATATTGAAAAAACACACTTTTGTAAAACTCAAAATGGGGCCTCAGGGTAAAAGTTGATATGCTCAAATTTGATGTGAATGTAGTGTGCAATCGATTGCGCAAAAAACATTGGGAGCCGAATTTTGAATTTCGCTTTTGCTTTTTTGCAACTTCCGGTTGAAATTTTTTTAAAGCTTCAAACGATCACACCATGTGACCTTGACCTTTGATGACCTTGACCTTCATAGGGTCAAAGGTCATTGACCTTGGCTATCATTTGATACTTTGACCTTTGACCTCCGACATGTACTTCTGGTTTTATAGCTATCCGTAAAAAGCCAAATTCGCAACTTTGGACTGCTCTAGCACGTGACCTACTTAACCTAGAGAGTAAATTTTTTCGGTTTCCTAATGTGCTTCTCATGCCCTTTACATAGATATATAACAATCGTTATTTTAAAGCAAAATTGAAATTGGTGATTTTTTCAAATTTGAGTTTTTTTTTACAATATTTGCGTCTTTTTGAGCTTAGTGTATGTATATCTTATGATCTATTTGATGTAGAACCTTGATATTTGGAATACAACTAGACACTTTGAATATAAATTCACCTATGAC